CGTCACACTGATAAACTAAAATAAAGTAAGCAACCTTAGATAATAAATATTTTATTAAATAGCAAATTCAAAAAATGATAAATAAAATGTAAACATAAATTTTACTGATATATGTTTAACTTTCAGTAGCATTTAAAAATAATTCTAATGTCATTTAATATCTCTTTTCTAATGTCATTTTCCTTGAAATGCATCTCACATACCTATAACAAAATGAATACAATATTTAAATGTGCATTTAAAATAAATAGTACATACTATATTCATGTATGAAAAATTAATAGATTTTTGTAGAAAAATTAATAGATTTAAATTTCATAATCAAATAAATTACAATATATTATGGTCAAACAAAAATGTTTAAAGTTTGAGCAAAAATTTAATAAAATACTAAAATTATTAATATTTTTATAAAATAAAACTCTATAAAAATAACTATATATATATATAAAAATAGCTATATAGTTATTTTGTCATTATACACAAAATTTATTACAATAGTTTCGATATGATTGATAAGAACAACTTAATTATTATGATTAATTTATCCACAATTTAAAATAATTTACTCTAAGTAAAAATATAATAAAGAATCATAATTACATTTTTAAAAATAAAAACAAATATTACTCACTTTAGAATTCTTTGTAACTTCAAAATCTCTTGGTATGGCGGCAAGCCATTTCTTACGTAATTCTTCATCTTTGGGAAATCCGAAAACAGATACTTTTGTACCATCAACTTTGTAATTTCCTCTACAGTTTGGTACACAGCATTTAAATACCATTATTCATAACACTAAGAATTAAATTAATGCTGAAATTTATAACATTTGTAGAGTAAATATAAATTTTACGAAGAACGTTTACATCATAACACCGACGGTTGTTTACAAATTCTAATCAAAAATATTCGCCAATTGGCTGAATGCGTACACAGGTTACAATACTTCAGAATATCGCCAATGGCTCGTTTGATCAGATTCGGATTTTTTCGAAAAAATAGCTACCCTGACTGGTTTTCCTATGGGCCTAACTCTACTACGTCATCATCGCCTATAGTAACCCGTTGTGGGGCTTGATTCCTCTTGGAGGTATTGACCTATCCCAGGCCTGCCAACTACTACGCTTTTTGCGAAATATTTTATAGAGTGGTACACAGTTGAAAACGAAAACATGCAAATTTTCAGGTAATTTTGCTAGCATTTTAAAAATGTAACCACACGATAACTGGAACTAAGAGGCGTTTCATATGAACTTTTAAATCATTTATGTGTAGTAGTGTGGAAAATTAGGATGAAATGAATTAAAAATACATTAAAACATAAATTTTTGCAAAAAGCGTAGAAAGTAGGCAGCCCTGCTATTCATATGCCTTGGTAAATGAGATATCTTAGTATCAGCCCCGCTAGGGGTTCTAACTAATTCGTCTGAGTGAAGATTAGAATAAATCACCGAAGCTTGCTTAATTGGATGGGGAAAAGCCCTGCTATTCACTTGCTTGCTTTATTTAAAAAGAACTGGGCACCTGGGCCGCGCAGCGGCCCCTATCCCATACATCGTGACATATATACATTGTGTTTAAAAACATTTTGAAATTTTGCTACATTGTGGTGGCAAAAACAAAAACCCTGCTATTCATCGTAAAGTGAAGTTTAAGGAGTGTTTTTTCCTTTCAAAAAAAGTGATAGTTAATCTCCATTATTATTATTACCATTTCTTTTTGTAAAAAGAGGGTGTAATTGAATATTGGGAGGTTCTAAAAGAATTATTTAAGCCATTCCTTGTTTTTGTGGACTCATCCATGATTATTATACTACCACGGTTTTGATTTTTTACTCAAATTCTGAAAGGGTACACATTAATCTCACATTTTAACATTAATATTAACTTAAAAATGTCAACAAATATTTTGTAGTTGATAAAAAAAGTTTTTTATAGAATTTTTTTAATATTTTTCTTTTATAGAAAATATTAGTTTGTCGTATTACTTATTTATTACATAATGACTAATATCGAATATAGAACAGGCTTTTTTTTATATGACATTCAATCAAGAAATTCATTTACATAATATGTTTAATTTCTACGTTTGTAACCAAACTCATATTTTTTGTCAAGTGTTAGCCAACGACTGAAGGGAAAAATTTACTTAGATGTCTTAAGATGATTTACTTAGCTTACTCAACTTTACTTAACACATTGCTGACCGGCCACGAGTTAACTCGTGTTTTCGTGGCCAAGCGTTGGTGACCGGTCACGAGTTAACTCGTGTTGTCGATATCAGTGTTCTCGTGGTGACTATTTTAAAAAGTGAGCGTAATTCTCCTTACTTTTCAAGTTTCACTATTTAATTCTGTACCAATTTATTATAACTTTACGAAACCTGATATATGGGAAAAACTTGCAGTGTTTCATTACACACAGGTGATTGTAATACTTTTTATTATATGGCATTAAAAATTAAAAGTTTTTAAAGTTTATTTATATTGTTTNTGTACCAATTTATTATAACTTTACGAAACCTGATATATGTGCAAAACTTGCGGTGTTTCATACTGCCTCGTACTCCTCCAAATTTCCCGTCCTCATTACTTCCAATGTCATTAGTCTCAGTCGCCCTAGGGCATATCACAGATCAGAGGTCTAGTGCCCGCTTGCGCGGGCAGGTACCTTGCCAAAATACATGATCTAGCTAGGTGTTTCATTACACACAGGTGATTGTAATACTTTTTATTATATGGCATTAAAAATTAAAAGTTTTTTAAGTTTATTTATATTGTTTTACTTCCACATTCGCTTTCAAGACAATATCCGGGTTCATGGGGTAATTTTCAGAAAAGTTGCCGGTCAGCAATGTGTTAAGATTTACTTTAGATGTGTAAGTTTATCTTCGGAGTTGACATTTAGCCAAATCTAAAGTCGTGTAGTTCTTTAAATTAAAATTTTAATTATTTAAAAAAATTAAGCCATTTTTAAAGTTTAAGACTATTTCTTATATCAAAAATGAATTATTCTGTTTAACTTTTATATAATATAATAATTTTATACAATATAATTGTTTTTCCACGAAACTATTAGGTATCCAAAAGAACAAGATTTGAACCCTAATGTATTATATATGATGGAATATGAGAGACACAACGCTGAGATAGCTGCATACCATTTCGACAGGTAGAGTTATTTTCAATAAAATTTTTATCAAAATTAATAAACTTATGAAACTAATCTATGAAATTTTAAATAGTATGTATGCAATTGGTGCAGAAATTTCTCTTCAGCTTTTTAAAACTTTAAGCGCCATTTGTAATTATCCTTTCTAAGTTATTGAGATATTTATCTGCCGTTTTTCATGTAATTAATTTTATTGCTTTTCATTACCAAACAGTTGTATCAATTTATGTCAATTGAGTATACCACATTGTAAAAAATTTCGTGCATCTGAACATTAAAAATGCTGGCAACTACTTTAAACCAAAGTTATGTCTCACAAAGTGTTCTATTACACCAAAACCAAGGATATTTCCAGGTATAGTGTTACATCTCCCAAGTTGAAATTTTTGATGGTTTATTATGATGGACCAACATAATTTTGATGGTAATCATCAATAATTTCATCATGAACCATTATATTTTTTAATAGAAACCAACACAAGTAAACATTACCTCAATGTAGGAATTCGGTCTGATTTATGATGGTCCAGCATAAGAATAGCAACTTGTTTTTATGGTTTGTTGATGTTGAACCATCAGAAATTTCCATCATGATAGGCCAACATAAAAAAAAAACAAATTGTTTTGATGATATATTCCTGAGAACCAACAAGAATTGCCACTAAATCATCATGCAAATGTATAGCTGGAACCATCATGGATTGTTGGTTTATGGGAGTCAAATTTCTCTTGATGGTTAACCATAGCATACCTGCCAGCTCTTACGCATTTGGCGTAAAATTTCATTTCTATGTTATGTTTAAAGTGGTAGCAGGGCTCGAAAAAACTCAGAAATTTTACTCGTCCACGAGGACGACTTGTCCAACAATGTACCCGTCCTCCTTTGAAACTAACCCGTAGCTTCTAGATAAATAAAAATATAAGTTTCTCTTATTTATTACAAACATTTATATAAATTGCACAATGAATTAGTAGTTACTAGGATTACAATATACAGTAATAAAAGAAATACTTGGTTACTAGCAGTAACCTAGTATTTCTTTTTTGAAATAATTTAAATGACAAAGGTCAATTTATCCGAGAGTACTGCGTTTTTTAAATGAATCAGATTGCCAGTTTCATAATCAAGCCAATGATTTAAAGAGGTTTCTGCACAGAAATCTGAAAGGGGTTTTCCATATAGGTAGATGTTCATAATTGCGTTTAACGCTTCTTGTTTAAAACCTGCACGTAATGTGTTTTTTGTGAGTTCATTGCTGAAAAGCCCCTTTCAACCGCTGCAGTACTCCCAGACAGAGAAAACAACAATTCCACCATGAGCAGTATGTTGCTGTATTTCTAGATTAGAGGGTCATTTTAGAAGTGAGGCGCTAAACTATTGTAAGGTAACAAAAATTGAAAATGTATCACGAACATTAACGGGAAAATGGCCGTTTGCGCGGACGTCGGATTCGAGAAATTCGTTGTCCGCGGGGAATTTTTGAGCACCGAGGACGGGCGGTTTTTCGAGCCCTGAGTGGTAGTCAAATGTATGCTTTCAATATATTCCATGTATTTACATACTTAATTTACATTTTTTTTTACCACCACTATTTTTGAAAAAATTAAACATANCGTCCCAGTCGAAAGAGAAAAACGACCAAGGACACGACTACTTCTACAGCCCACAGACTTGTTAGCCTCATCAGTGAACTTAAAGACTTGCTGAAGGACCAAGACGTACTGCATCTTCTCACAACTTTAATCCAGGGGAATTCCCCATACAACTGATGTACTACTGAATCAACTCATGCCTCACCTCATCATGGACTTATTATCTGATCCTAACTTAGAACTATGAACTGTATATGACCTCTGGACTAAATGCCAAAACAGTATAGATGAATCGGTTAGAAGCGCTTCGCGCTTAACACCGAGATTCCACTCATATCAATCAATCAATCAATCAATGATACCGCGTATGTCACTGCCTAAAATAGTAATTTAAATTCCATTTTACTACCACGGACGAAAATCATCCTTGAGAGGATTAAAAGTTGGCAGGTATGCCATGGTAATAAAGAAGCATTTTCCATGATGGAAATTTGTTGGCATATAAAAACCATGAACACATAATGGAAAAATGTTGGATGATGGTGACCATCAAATGATGTTGGATCATCATGAGTAGCACTGAAACCAACATTAACCATCAAGATTTTTGACTTGGGATAGAATGTTCTTTTACATTACTTGGCGTAAAGTAGTCACCACTATGTTATATTATAATTTATTATTGCAATAGGAAATGATACCCATATTATGGATCAAAAAAGTTGCTTTTAGGTTACGATCTAAAGTAAGAATCATAAATTTAGGATGCATATGTACAATGTTTCTTAAAGTAAAATTAGTTTGTTAATCAAACATACAGACAGCACAGTAATATTAATATGGATCTGAACAAAACCGAAGTGAATAGAAGTTAAATATTATAAAATTGAGTAATACAATTTGCAGATTTTTGTAAATCTTATGAGATCATAAATTTCTTTACTATGCATGCATTTTATAACAATTTGTAAGAAAAGTTTGTCAAATCAATCCGACGAAGAGATTGAAATTATTTGCAAATAATCGACCGCAATCAACATGTTTTTATCAATCAGTAAAAAATATTAATATTGAAACTTACTTGGTATTCAATAGGTTATGACCAGTCTGCCAATTAAATCCGACTAAATTCGATTAGACCACCATCTTGGCCGCCATATTGTCAACATCTTGTGGTTTTCCTCTATGTCAACATTTTCGTGGTTTTCCTTTACATGAAACACAAATGCTGGTTAGTTCCATAAAAAAGTCCTCCCAAATATATTCCAATACTTGATTCAGGAGTTCCCTTGTCTTCTGGATTGGATCCAAAATTACAAGGCTATAGAGTTGGACATTAGTAGTGGTAAATCCGAAAATCGGGTCGGTTGTTCAACAACGGTCATAAAATATAAAATAAAATAAAATCATGTGTTAATATCTAAAATGTTCTGTAATTGTTACATGATATTATTTATCCTGTTAAAATTTATTTTTTCATATATTAAAAATAGTACCATTAAATATACAGCATTATGTTGAAATTATCAAAAATGACCATTCAATAATAACCAAGAATAAAATTCAGAAGTATCCAATGCGAATGCAAAGCATATCTTAATTACCAAGTAACCCAGAGGTTGGCTGGGGTCTGGTTCATTTAATCGACAATCACTTCATCGACAGGCCATTTCANGAAATGAATGCGACCCGGTTGGCTGACAGTGCGATCTAGGGAACTTCTATTTTAAGAATGAGATATTTTAATTTCATAATTATATACTGTGTGCAAAATAAAAAACCGACCAACCTGAATAAATTTTGATCTAATAATAGGATCTTCACGTTCAAGGACCTAATCTTATTGACTCGAGAGAGTGACTTCAAATATGCTAATTAATAAATATAGACGATATTTTAAGTTAGGAAATCATACACAAAAATATACTTTCTCTGAATCAACATATTTGTTTTTCGATAGTTCAGATTTTTTCCCCCCAAAATATAGGGGGTAACCGTAATCTGGGAAATATGATCCCCGTAGTTAGATCCGGCAAGCGGTCCAAAGTTTGGACTCTTTAAAGTTATTTTAATATTTTGCATTTTTCGCCATATTTCAAGAACTTTTAAAGCAAATTGAAAAATTTTTGCACCCACTTATAAAATGCGTTTATCCAAAGGTATGCAAAAAAAATTTTAGTATATATTTATTATTTCATTATATAATAGTCGAAAATATTTTTAATTGTATGGTATGCAATTATTTACATCATTTAAAAGTATGTAATTTTACATGACAAAATACAAAATGACGGCAAAATCATCGGTTGAATAGTTCTTGAGAAATCGAAATTTAAATATAACGACTTTTTTAAAATTCGATTTCTCACGAACAATTCAACCGATTTTGCTCAAATTTTGTATTTTGTCATGTAAAATTACACACTTAAAATGATGTAAAAAATTTTATACCTTGCAATTCAAAATTTTTTCGAGTAATGTGTAAATTATTAAAAAATAATAAATACTTATAAAATTGATTTTTTTGCATTATAAGAACAAGATGAAAAAGAACACGAAGCATTCTTAATTTCCACGGTATTTCGATAACTCAAACATATATAAAGAGTTGTCTTATGAATGAGGTGAAAGCGTGCAGTATGTATGAGTTTGCTGAACCAGGTTAATTTTCCTTGCTTTGATAATAATTTAACTACCATTATAACAATTTTGAAGGAGCGCTAGGCGCTCTTAGCTAGTTAGCTGATTTAAATCTTCCATCATTTAATAAGTTAAGAGTATTAATTATTCTAGTGCTACTTAAGGTTCTCACCCTTAACTGCACTAGAGAACAATTATTACTATTTTGTAATGTTTATTTCAAGTTACAACAATTTTATGTACCTTTTCATGAAGGATCATGGGATTTCGAAGGGTGCCTCCTCACGTTGGAAGGAAAGTCAGCATTTCTAGAGAACTGTTTCCTCTAGTAGATGAAGCTTTTATGGATACTTTTTTCTACTCCCCAGGTAAACTTTCTAATGATTTTTCTGGAAAAAATTGAAAGATTTGGGAAAGAAATTCCGAAAATTTATATAAATTTCTTAAATGAAAAATGGCACCAAGGAAATAGTCTTTATAACTGAAAATCACAAAAAAAAAATTATGATTTTTGTTAAAAGAAATAAATTTAACAGAATAAACAGTTAGATAACTAAAATAAATTTTATTCACAAAGGTCTGTATAAATTAAAATGAACTTTACCAACTATAGCATTGCTCATAGAACTATATGAAAACTAAAATGTATCATTAAAAACATGATCTTAAATGAATCTAAATTATTAGTTATAAAATTAAAGAATAAATTATTAAAAGTCCCTCAGAATATATTTTAGTTCAATGATTAAATGTTTTTTATAGAATAAGAATTTAAAACTTGCAAAAATTCCCTCTTTATGTGAATGACTAAACATTTAGTGACGTTTAGCTGCCAATATTTTATTTTTGGATTCTTTTCGTGATCTTATTTCGATATTTAATGTGGTACTGAGACTTATACTTTCTTACTTGATTCTTATTTTAATACGTCTGTTTTAAAATTATTTTTATTATAATTACCATACCTGCCAACTCTTCCGGATTTTCCGGAAGATTTTATATTGATATTTAAAGTGGTAGTAAATATATACTATTCTTTCTTTTATAAACTTAAATTTTAAATGATTTTGATCACCACTATTCTTACAAAAATGAAACACATATATTAATATGCGTTGTTATCATGGTTGTCAACTTAAGTTTTGTCAAATACAACGTATTTGTTTGCTTAAAATTGAAGTTTTAATTTCATTTTAATATCACTGGGAAAAATGAAAATGGAAGGGATTAAAAGTTGGCAGGTATGTAATTATGTTCAGAAATATTAAACATACATATTAGGTAGCAGCTAATTATTTTATTAACTTTTTTTTGCTGGATATATGTGAATAAAATATTTGTTTCCTATATTACTCTTACTGATATTTAACTACCACTATACTTTTATTTGAACTGTTTAAAAGTTCGCACGTATACAGTTGGAGATGTAATATTTTGTTTTATTTTCATATCAGAAATATTGTGAGAGATCTCATATATGTATATTTAATTTATTTTTGTATAGTGGTGATCTTAAACTTAATTGAACTTTAAAATCGGGGAAATAAAGAATTTGAAATTTTTCAACTATTACTATGCAGATTCAGCAACTACTACGGATTTTTCGTAGTTTCAGAAAATACTAAATACATAATAAGGAGACAAAAAAAAAGAAGAGTGAGTGACGGTGGGAATTAAGGAAAATGATAATAATAAGTTTTATTTACTGCGCATAAATTGTAAAAACATGGAACCCATAAAATAAGCTAAAAATAATAAGGAAAAAAATATGAATGTTCATAAAGAGAAGAGAAGAAATATTGGAAATAAATAAAATGTTTAAAAAATATTTATAAAATTTAAGAGTGATTTCTAATATTGTACTAATATAGCCGAAGCAAAATACAGGGTGATTCTAAAAAGATGGGGAAAATTTTAGGAACTGATAGTACACACCCAGACAAACAATTTTTATCAAAGAATGCATGGTCGAAAACAAAACGCAAAGGTGCTGACGCATTTGGAAAGTTTTTTCATGCAAACGAGAGAGCTCCATTCCTATTGCGAGTTACTGCGCTACGTTATTTGTCGCCAAGCTCTCGGCCGCTGCTGGGAAAGTTCGCCTATCTTTTCTTCGCAGTTGTCCCAGCATAGCCGCTGCCGGCCACTGTTTTGAACATTTATTGTAATCACATGCCATTAAATTTGCTTTTATAACTTAACTTCATAGTTCTTTGTCTCATATAAGAACATAAACTTTGACGCCCTCTAGCAGTTTTGGGTTTTGTTTTCGACCATGCATTCTCTGATAAAAATTGTTTGTCTGGGTGTGTAATATCACTTCCTAAAATTCTTCCCATCTTTTTTAGAATCACCCTGTATGTCAATACAATAGTGTGAGGAGTACCAAAGAAATGGAAGCGAATATTATATATATATATATATANTAGTTCCGATTTTAATATAAATATTACTTTTATTAAGTTTCTGATTACGGCTAGATTATGAATCTAATTATTAGTAAGTTATTAAATCTGATCAGATGATTTAAATATAATTTTTACTTGGTACACTTGTAGTTTTAAATAGTATATATATATATATATATAGCTGGAGTCTTTGAATAGGTAATAAAAAATCCGTTGCAGCTACAGGAATATAATTTTTCAATCAAATTTTCAACACTAATCGTGTCTAATCATCCATCAGTTTTCATATTCCCTATTCTTCACAGACATTCGTATTTTGAAAACACACTGAATATTTCATTTAAATCAATGATTATATTTACGATTAAAGTGATCAGTAATCACTAATCACTATTAAAATGATTTTACTATTAAAGTGAAATCACTATTAAAGTAAGGATATTTACTTTTTGTTAAAAAATAATATTCATTCTTGTGCAGATGGCAACTACTGTTTTCATGGGAAATGTCGACTTTTTTGTGACACGCATCACGCTTTCTGCGGAAATCCTGACTTGATTGAAGGAAGTGTTGGAGCATGGATTCTAACTTCACCGGACTACATATTTCAGCACAATTTCATCAGAAGTCCCTGGAAGCGAAGCTATCTTCCAAATACTTACGCTCCGTGGGAGAATGATCCTTTCTTCTGTGTCAACTTCGTCAGAGAAACGGAGCCTTTCAAAGAAGGTCGAAGAATATATGATGCAATGGACTGTACAATTTTCGATTACATCATAGGTAACTGTTGTATACACATTTTATGTGGTGTAAATGATCTCAAATGGTTGATCACATGTTTTACTAAACACCCCATTCACACCTTAGTCTGTAGTTCTATCTAAAATTTTCTTCTTTGAGGTGGATCATAGAGTTGAATTTTACCAGATGGGGCATCACCTCCTACATCAGAAAGCCTCCACGCGGTTTTTTATAAGTTGTCTGATCAGACTATTTTATAAGTGAACCGGTTTTGCGCATGAACCCTATATCATACCTGCCAACTTTTAATCACTTCCATTATCATTTTTCCTAGTGGTATTAAAATGGAATTAAAACTTCAATTTTAAGCAAACAAATACTTTGTATATGAGAAAAATTAAGTTGACAACCACAATAGTAACGCATATTAATATATGTGCTTTATTTTTGTAAGAATAGTGGTGATCAATATCATATAAAAATTAAGTTTATAAAAAAAAAGTATTTAATTACTACCACTTTAAATAGGAAAATAAAATCTTCCGGAAAATCCGGAAGAGTTGGCAGGTATGCTATATCTATTTAGAAAGCGACTGAGTGAAATTTATCATATATATATATATATATGAGAATTGAATCTGTAGTGGTAGACAAGTAAATAGGACATACCGATCATATCAGAGATGCCAACTTGCTCCGGACAGCAAATATATATTTTAAAGTGGTAGTTTATAAATTATGATTCTTGGTTTAATAAATTCAATTTAGTGGATTTTTATCCACCACTATTTCTAAATAATTCGTAGGTTTATATAATTCATAGTACTAGTGTCATGCTATACCGTTTAGGGAGCAAGCAAAAATAGTTAAATATTTGCAAAATTTAGTTTGTAGTTATTTACCATTTTTTTAATTATTTAGGCGTGTCCAGAGCAGTTGGCATATATTTGCAACCACTTTCCTATTTTTACTGGATTTTCTATTAAAGAGCTCTTTCGTAAACTGGTTTACCTTCATAGTGGTCTGATCAGACTACTTGTAAAAAAAAAACGTGTGGAGGCTTTCAGTTGTAATTGGCGTTGGATGGGGAAAGTGCAGTTCGGTTAGCCACAGAGGTTTTTCTTGTTTTTTCTTTTATCCATGTAGCACAACAGTGGATTAGTTTCACTTTGATAAAATATCCAAAAAAAATTTTTTTGTGTCGAAGAGTTTCTTTATCTTTGTATTCTCGTTCATAGAGTTGAATCTGAGTTAAATTCAAATTAAGAGATGACTTGTTACGCCATATGACTAGTTTCAGAACAAATTTATACCTTTATTTAAGTTTTATCCATACCATGGGGACAAAATTGTAAAATATATTTATTAAATAAAAAATAAAATGTCAGAGCATAAAATTTACTACCATTTGAAACACTTGGAAGAATTATGTAGAAAACTAAATAAGTTTATAACATTATTGTAAGTTTGATCCACTTTGTATTTAAATTTTTTCTAGTGGTAAAGAAATTTAATTTATCTTTGGTATATTTTAATTTATCCACCATTTCATATCATGAATTCAAAGAATCATATGAAATGCAATTTCATTTTCGTTTCTCGTGGTGCACACTTAAAGAGTGGACATAATTACATACCTGCCAACTCTTCCGGATTTTCCGGAAGATTTTATTTTCATATTTGAAGTGGTAGTAAATATATACTATTTTTTCTTTTATAAACTTAATTTTTAAATGATTTTGATCACCACTATTCTTACAAAAATTAAGCACATATATTAATATGCGTTACTATCATGGTTGTCAAGATTTTTCAAATCCAACGTATTTGTTTGCTTAAAATTGAAGTTTTAATTTCATTTTAATACCACTGGGAAAAATGATAATGGAAGGGATCAAAAGTTGGCAGGTATGTAATTATCCTTATTCTACATTATTTACTAAATCATTCGTTACCAATTTATTAATACTTGTGCAGAAAGCGGATCAGTTGGCATACCCCATGAAAGCCAGTTAATCCAATTTTCAGCTCAAATTAATTTCATCTTCTTAACAAAATTTTTGTTTAATGAATCCTAGCTAAGAGTGAATAAGCAAAAAATATAACAAAATGTGGATTAACGATGACGCCCTAAAATCTAATTTTCATTTTTTATGTTTTTTTGGCGTTTTGTAATAAGAAATTGTCCAGCCATCTTTATGTGGAAAATCTAATTATGCTACAAGTTTTAATGACTAAACAACCATGCATCGCTAACACTCAATTCAGCCGTTAAATTCACTATTTGCAGCAAATGCTGCAACATTATAATTGAATGCTCCGCTTTGAATTTTCAATTTTAATGCAGCATTCCGTATTTGCAAAAGTTTGAGAATTTCTTGATACGGCATATAAAATATTTCCGCATTCCTGATTTTATAGATTATCATACCTGCCAACTCTTCCGGATTTTTCGGAAGATTTTATTTTCATATTTAAAGTGGTAGCAATACTCATGTTATTCCAATTAACTTTTTGAATTGTAATGATAATTATAAATAATTACAATAAATATATAAAAGCATAATAATTCTTGCCCAAGCGAATTTCAACGGGATCAAAATATAAATGTATTTTTGAGTCAGATTGTTTTACAACCACTCTGAAAATCCATTCTAGGAAACAGTGAAAGTTGGCAGGTATGGATTATAATTGACTAGATAATGGTGGCTATGAATAACTTATTTTTATTGAAAAAATAAGAAATGAAATGTTTTTAGGAATACTGCTTTATTTTTCCTAAAACTTATTACTCTTATTGAAATTGCAATAAAGCGAAATTAAATGTTTACCAATTTTATAATAATTTAAAAGTAATTATGTTTTTGAAATATTTCGTATTCATTAATTGAACAATGAACAAATATAAAAATTCGATTATCATCAGTATAATTGCATGCTGGTGAACATTGGTTTTAAAAGAAGGAAATTGGGTAAAGCTTGCGGCACAGAACTAATCAGATATGTAAGACGTGGCATAAACAGGTAGAGGTTTTAAAGTTTCGTTAACAATTAGCAGGACTAGTAATATCCTTTTGCTCTTCGAGATAGAATTCTATACTCTAGAATTGAATTCTAAGCTTTCGATCTAAAATGCTCTCTCGTCATCGCTTTTGAAGCCTTTAAAGAAGTGTTGAAAGTAAGATGGAAAAGCTGGCAGAAAAACTATTTCATTTAACACGTTGAACGCCACGTTAATTTTTACATGGCTTGCCCATTAGGCCACGGTAAATAACTACAAACTAAATTTCCAATTATTTGACGGATTTTGCTATTTTTTTAGAAGGTTTATCATGACATAATCTGTCCTAGTCCTAGTGTTTTGATTTTATTGGGCACCTGGGTGACATAATCTGATAAAAGTGGTGAATTATATAAGCCTACGAATTATGTAGAAATAGTGGTGGATAAAAATCTACTCAATTTATTAAACCAAGAATCACAATAATTAAGTAAATTTTGAATAAAATTTCTGCAATTCCATAAAAGAGTGTAAATTTTATAGTTCTATATCATGTTATACGCTGTCAGCCAGCTGTTTTTCGCGGCCTATGTGAAAGGTCAGTTTCAGCAAGCGGTGGGAGACGCAGCCTAAATGTAATTTCAGTGTCAGCAACCGGTGGTTGAAGCAGTCTAAATGTAATTTCAGGGTCAGCCACCGGTGGTTGATACGGCCTAAATGTAATTTCAGTGTGAGCCACCGATGGCTGACGCGGCTCTCAGTGTGTTAATGCTGGTTTTTGTGAGTCGTATAATAGGGATGCCTACTGCTCAGCTATATGCAAAGGTGTTAAAAAATATGGTAGGAGCCGTGATGGCTCAGGAAATAGAGCGTTCAGGAAATAGAGCGAATAGACTCTAACCCATGATACGTCTACCACTGAGAATATTTAACGTCAGCACTGTGGTCAGTGCAAGCCGGATGCGGAATTCGTATCAAGCAGCCTTCACTGGGATTCGAACACGGTTCATCTCATTGGAGCGACCACAGTGTTGACGTTAAATATTCTCAGTGGTAGACGTGTCATGGGTTAGAGTCCCCTTGCCGTCAGGCTAAACGTGAGAGATATTCGTGTTTTTACTCTCCATGTTAAGCAAATGCGGGCTAGTTCCATCAAAAAGTCCTCCACGAAGAAGAAAAATTTCACTCAATACTTTATCCAGGAGTTCCCTTGTCTTCTGGATTGGGTTCAAAATTACAAAGCTACGGAGTTGAATATTGGTAGTCGTAAACCCAAAATATGGTCGGCTGTTCAATGACGGTTTTAAAATTATAAAATTAAGTACAAAAAAAGTACAAGATCAATGACAAAAAATTCAAACTTTAGACTTGGCTCATTTGTCCATAATTATTGTGCCTACGTTTTCTTTTTGTGGGTACCCCCTTGCATTTTAAATTGTTAAAAATCCATATCCGTTGGAAAAAAGAGGTATGTTTATTCAAAGAATATACGCTTTTGCTTTTAATTTCGTTTACTTGAAATATCGTTTACAATAATTAATTATCTTTTATGAGGTTTGTATTTGAACCATTAAGCTTGCTACTTAGTATATGAAGACCTGATCAATAGCATACTCTTCCAAATTTGCAAAAAAATTTTCCTGCGCTAAAAAACGAAAACAATAATTTTTAAAATACATAAATAAAATACGTAATAAAGACTTTTATTAGACTCAAGAACATGAGTTATTGTAAATATGTTAAGCAAAATATTAACAGCATTGAAATTTCATTATTAGAGAAGTACGCATTAATTCTAGAATTAATTATAATTCTTCGGTATATTTATGAAGCAAAATTTATGCAGTTTTAAAAATGTTAATTGATTTATAATTAACATTACTTATAATCAACGAATTAATACCCAGTTGTACTTTTAAATTTCAGGAAACTGGGACAGGCATCATTATAATGAGCTTAAAGTATTTGCTAATGACAGTACAAATGGAATTATCCATTTTGACAATGGTCGTGGGTAAGTATCATCAACTTATAAGCATCAACCCTTTTCTTATTGAAGTTAATGCTGAGAAAGAAAATGGCTGAAAATATCAAATCATACCAATTCACAAAGAATCTATTATACTCTTTTTGAAACTGTCATCATTCATAAATTGATGCGAAGTTAACTCCATTCTATGTAGTAAGGAAATTCATTATAATTCTCCGAGCTAAAACAAATGATAATCTAGCAATGGTTAGGCAAAAAATACTATACAAAATGATCCATAATTGACTTAAATTATAAATTTCCATTTTCTCATTAAACTATATGCTGAGAAAGATAATTGTTGACAATATCAAATCATACCAATTCACAAGGAATCAAACTGTCATCATTCATAAATTTGATATGAAGTTAACGACTTTCAACGTAAATTTAGCACTTAGAACTAAATTCGTTATAATTCTTCGAAGTAAAACAAATGATAATACAGCGATGGTTAGGCAAAGAATAATGAACACGATGATCCGTAATTACTACCCATAAAATTCTTTACAAAATGTCTTTTCAATCACAATGACGGATTGAACTGTTCAGGGCAGTGATCATATACGTGATCACGTGGTTCTCTTTTCATAGTCCACGGTATCGTAGAAGAGAAGAGCCCTTCTGACTCTAATGGCCCATAATCTGAATTTTGTACCCTCGTATTAGTACGTAAGTATATTCTTTAGTACGTACATTCCCTGAATGTTCAATATATCAAGCGATTTAAGGTTAACTTAAAATTTTAGGATTTGGTGGATAATGTCATTTGCATTCTTAGTTCTTCATAATGGTGTTTGAACTAATGTTAGAACAATTTCATGCAAAAATGGTTTTGAATTGACTTGATATGGAGTAATGCGAAGTGCCTATTATTAATGATGTCGCACACCATTTATCAATTTCAGGTTTTTGCATAAGACTGCCCTTTACATTTTCTGGGGGACTGAGCTCTTGGGGAGTGAGGTTGAGCAACGTCTCCTAGAACTGACTCCATACGGTTTCTCATAGGTAGTCCGATTAGACCATTACGAAGGCTAACCAGTTTACGAAAGTGCCATTTTATAGAAAATCTATTAAAAATAAGAAAGTAGTAGCAGATATATGTCAAAAGATTTGTTTAATTTTTGAATATGATTAGTTTGTATTTTTCACTTGGCAACCACAACAGATTCAAATATATAAGATAAATTTCTCGCAATTACTTTTAAAATGGAATTTGAGTTCATACGCACAACTATTTCATTTTTTAAATAGTCTGCGCAGACTACTGATAAAATAACGTGTGGAGGCTTGATCAGGTCATTCATGACATACAACTTATACAAAAACCAAACAATAATTTTAATATATAATTTTAATATAATAATTTTGGAGACTAAATGGAGGCGTTGCTTGATGGAAAAACCGACTAGTGTTTCTCTGCAAATGACAATAAATTGATTTCAGGAATTTTTTGATGATTGGAAACCAGCTTACAGCCTAAAGGAGATACTAGGTCATGTTTCCCACTGTGACTGAAGCCTTCCTACACAATTAATGAACATTCACTTCGCTGTGTAACGGGGAAGAAATTTATCTTCCATTATGCCGCTTTAATACCACACAAAATTGTCTGTATCATCTCAATTCTTTTATTTTCTACTCTCCTTTGAATGTGGATAACTTTCATTATAGGCTAGTACTAATTTTTTAAACAGCAAATTCTTGTAGAATATATAAAACGAAACAGTAGACGAGAAAAAAAATGAAAAAACTTTTTAAAAATGAACAGCCACGTGAACGTTCATAAATGTAGTAGGAAATTTTAAGCTATGGTGGTAAATTTTACGCGGCCTTTCCCTGGGATTTGTAGTAAGAATTTTCGATTCTAGTCAGATTTTCCAAAAAAGTGAACGGCATCATTTAATCTGCAAAATCTTCAACATGGTTGTTTTGGGGCTATAGAGTATATGTCATGGATGACCTGCACTTTTTCATAACCCCCATCTCCAAAATAACGTGAAGGACTATCCTCAACAGGGCGAGCCATCACCTCCTACATCAGAAAGCCTCCACACAGGATTTTATAAGTAGTCTGGCAGATTATTTCAAAGGCGAACTAGTTGTGCGCATGAACCCAATTTCTATTTTTAAAAGTAATTGAGAGAAATTTATCATATATATTTGATTTAATTTGATTGATTTGATTTGATTTGTTCATTTACGTCGCACTAGAGCTGCACAATGGGCTATTGGACATTGTATTTGAGACATAAATATTGACATATATATTTGAGAATTGAATCTGTTGTCTGTTGAAAAATAAATAAGACAAACCAATCATATTCATAAATTACACAAATTTTTAGCCATATATTTTCTACCACTTTCCAGTTTTTAATAGATTTTGTATTAAATGGCTCTTTTTTAAACTGGTTTACCTTCATAGTGATCTGATTAGATCACCAATCAAAAACCGTCTGGAGGCTTTCAGTTGTAGGAGGCGTTGGTAGGGCTGTCTATACAAAAAAAAGTTTCTGTTTGTGTCAGAATTAAAAACTGCTACTGTGGAACTTGACATAATATTGATGCTATTATCCTCCTTGGATTGGTAACTAGCAATGTCACATATTTTAAGTCAGATAAAATTATGGTGAATATTTCTTCTACAATATCAGAAGTGAGTTTTTTCAATTGAAGTCTTTTTTTTTTCGGGCCTAGGTGGAGCAGAAAGTGAGTTACTCATTGTAAATATGTGTTTAGATATAGATTTCCTTAATAAATATGTTTGGTTCGCATTGGTTTTCTTTGTGTCAAGTTATAATAAATAATCAAGGTGGTTTTACTTATTTGGGGTAACTATAAGTGTGTTATGATAATGGTGTTGTTACTTATCCTGTTGTTACTAACGGTGCTAAATCCATACAAATTACGAAACTTACCATGCCACAAAAATGATAGAGAAATACAACAAAAATAGAAAGAGAAATACATAAAACGAAATTAGCTTTTCAACTCTAACATTTGACTCAAATTTTTACCCCTTACAAAAGTGTCAAATCAATAAGAAAATATGTTTTATTTTATATACATTTTGGATAATCTTTATACACTAACTAATTGTTTTAAAATACAATAATTTTTACAAACTTTTAAGAAATGCAATTTTTAAAATTGCTGTTTTAACTATTATCAACAAGCGACGTCACATAAGGTTATCGAACATGATTGGCTGCTGAATCGTTGCATTTGTTTATGTAACGATACATTGATCTTGACTTCAGGTATCCAATTATAGCAGATCTGAAAATTGATTCAGCAGAATAATAAAGTAACCCTAACAGTTGTAGCATTAACACGCCATCTGGTTTACACACAACCGACTACAGCGGCCTCCTTCTTCTTGAGTTACAGGCACCCAATTATTCTCGTTGTGATAACGCCATCTGTGGTATGGATTAGCTGCTGTGGAAGATCATTTTTATTTGCCAACAAGTCTAAAGCGGAAGCTCATCAAAGATAGTTCAAAAGTTTTTAAATATTGTTGATCTAATTTATAGTTCAAAGGTTCTTTGCTATGAGCAGAGACAGAATAACAAGAATTAAGCTCTATGTTCATCTCTCCTGAAAATGCTTTTTGAGCTATGATTATTTTTTCAAACACACATCTCAAGTTATGTTCGTTCTCTGAAACACGTATATTGACTTACGTCAATTTTTTCCGAACATTCATTTTATGTTGTGCTCTTTCTTGATACAAACTTTGTGCAATGACCATCGTTTCAAATGTATATTTCAAGCTATGTCCATTCGAAATTTGAGGCAGTTCCAAATTATAAAGTTCACCAAAAGTATGTTACATACTTGGGGTGAATTTTCTTCCACCCACCCTTTTTTTTACGTGAAGTTAATTGTTTTTGCCCACCCCTCATAAATAAAGATTCATTAAGAATGTTTTTTTTAAATTATTAAACATGTTTCTTAGCATTTGAATCTTGAATGTTTGAAGCACACTATGCATTTTTTAAAACTGTTTCTTGTGTTCAATTAGGTTCGGTAGAGCAGATCAAGATGAACCAAGCATACTAAAGCCATTAGAGCAATGTTGTATCGTGCGTTTGTCTACTTTCAATAAACTTTACGAGTTCCATGCAGGTCCTCGTCCTTTGAGCGACCTCATGCGAGAGAGTCTTAAAAAAGACCCTCTTTACCCTGTACTTACCGAGCCTCATCTTCTGGCCATGGACAGGAGAGTCGAAGGTGTCCTGGATGTCATACGTAGATGCGTACAAGCCAATTTACCTGCAGCCGTATTTCTTGATGATATTCTTCAAACATACTTTAGCTCAAATTTTACTAAGAAGTTTAAAAGACAATAAAAGTGTATAAATATGTGCATTAAAATATTTTCACAATTAAGTTTTCATTGACTTCTTGTCTATGGGACACTATTAAGTATGAATAAATTTGAAAAGTCGTGATTTTTGAGCTTAGCCCAGTAATTAATGATTACAGTGGACAAATAAACATAGTGGTAGTGAGCATACTAATAAAAAAAACTGAAATGTCGTAAGGAAGGCTCGGGGCACCATTCCTGGTGAAGGCTTGAAGCCCACTAAGCTTCAAATCGATGGATTTACGAGATAGTCTTTAAAGTAAAGGTAACCGGTTCAAAATACAGGTGACCTTGCCAAAATTATGCCCTTGGATTCACTGAACTTTAACCTTCTTGCGAAACCTTAATCTCCTTGACCAATAATTAGCTGTTTCGACAATGCTTTCTTTTTAATTAAATACTTTTCAATACCGTCAGATGGGGTGACTTTGTGAAAACTGCCATTTTTTTTTTCAATTTTTGCGTCGTGCCATCTAGGTTTTTTTTTCCAGCTCGGTATCATCTGATTTGAGTTGTCAACATAACGAACTAATGGTTTACCTAGAACTGGCAATGTAAACATCATCGCTCTTGAAAAATTGTGAGCTCAAGTTACAAGCAGTTTCAAATATTTTAACGTCGCAAAATCGGAGGTTGGAAAGTCTTCTCGGTTGAAGAAGTTCTAGTTATTCTGGAAGGTAGGTTATGCTTTGAAAGTCTTATTATTTGAGATCAAATAGTGCTTAAATTTTTGTTTTTAATTATCATAATGTTATTTATTTATTAATTAACAGCTTGCGCAAAGTCACCCCATCTGACTAACGCTCCTATACTATCAGAGCTGACCTATCAAGAAATATTGGAGCAAACAAGTTCGCAAGTTAACGTTATTTTAGTATTCATTATGTTATTACAGAGATGCCAACTGCTGCGGACACGCCAAAATAATTAAAAAAAAAACGGTAAATAACTACAAAGTAAATTTTGCAAATAGTTGACAATATTTGCTTGCTTTTAAAAATGTAAAGCATGTCATAAGTACTATAAGGTGGTGAATTATATAAGCCTACGCAATGTTTAGAAATAGTGGTGGATTAAAATCTACTAAATCGAACTTACGAAACCAAGAATTACAATTAATAAACTACCACTTGAAAATATTTATACGCTGTGCTCATGTTAGCTCTTACAATAAATGATAAGTCGGCCTGTCTAATTCAGGGGCTCTACATCTGACGGTATTTAATAAAAAAAAATAAGTAAAAGCACTATTTTCTTACGAAATAGCTGCTATAGAAATTTAGGTCTATTTTTTTTAATAACAAAAAGATAAATGGTTTATATTTAACTAATTTCTTTATTGTTCCAAGCCAACCCACGCAAGAAAAAATTAATTTATGCAGTAGGTCATTTTAATACATATATTTCTCATTTACCCGTGACTTTGCATAAAGAGTATTTTTAAAACCAACTCTCAGCTGCATTTTTCTTTATCCTTGTAAATTGTTCGCGATTTATCAAAATACACAAGGGTTGAACGAACTGTGGAAACACAATCTTTACTAACTCCATATAAAGAATACATCACTTAGCAGTAAATGTTTTGAACTACTTGTATTTTAATTATCGAACTTTGAAAAATCATTCTTGAATCATTTAGTAATGATGTCCTTTTTATCCATGCAAAATTTGCATCAACAGAAATGAAACTAAAAAGTTATAAGATTCTTCTTTTTTTCTCAATTTAACTATAATTAAAAAAAAGCATTTTAATATAAACTTTGCAATCTTATAATGCAATTTTAAAAATCGTTCGTATTAAAAAAACGCAAAAAAAAAGAAGTTATCTTCCCCTCTTCATTGCGGTCGATCTGAATTGCATATCTAAAAATGACAGAGTTTTCAGAAGCTAAAAGAATGATCTTTCAAATTTGGCCTACAGTTTAGCAATCTTAAATATTACAAAATATTTTCTGCTAAGAGAAATATTGTTTACATTTCAACAATGCATAGCAGGCGTGTTATTTTGTCGAAATGGGCGTTTCTGTCAAGGTAGGTGTGCTCAGATCACGTCCGCAGGTTACCAACGTGGAGAGAATGTTATCGACAATGTCAACCTTCATCTATGAGAAAGTACCCCCAACGTAGAAACATAATCTAAACTTTGGATCAAAATCCTTTGAAAAAAAGGTATGTTTAATCAGAAAAAGTTCGTTTTTGTGTCTGATTCCGTTATTTAAAATATCGTCTGCATTCTTAAAACAACATAATTCATTTTGAACAATTTATATTATTATAATATTCAATATTAAGCAGCATAATGAACACGTGAAGATTCTATCATTTCATCGAAAGTTACACTAGGTGGTCCGTTTTTTCGACGTAAATGGGTAGGGTGAGAATTACGAGATATCACAGTCAATTTGATCTACTATTTTTGAAATAATGTTTACTTTTTTACAATCCTAATCCTGTAGTTTGGCCGAGGTGCCTGAGGCCATAGGGCCCTTTACCTCTTCATCATGTGGTGCAGATCTTTCTGGTGTAACCTTGAGGTCTTTGTTCCTAGAATTGAAATTAGAAAATTAGTATGAGTCATTGCTCAGGTATAATCATAAAGATGATTTAATAGTAAAATTACGAGATATTAGTAAATATTAACATGATAAAATAAAATAAAATAGAAATATACATGATAATACATAAGTATGCAATTAGAAATAAGAAAGTCCTGTAAAGAAAAAGTGAAGATTATTATTGACTCCTGATTAGGAGCATGTTAGATTGCTCGCCAATAAAGCAAAAGTCAAGATTATAATGACCCATTATAGGGTATGGTCCGATTTATAATTATGAGGTATGGTCCATTATGAGTCGTATGATTCATATTGTTTTATATTTGTCCGTGATTTAGTCATGTCCGAGTTAATTGTCAATAATCAGTGCCATTATATAAAATTATAGTGCCATTTTAAGGTTATTTGCCATTATATTTTGCTGCCATTGAGTTAAACTCACATGGTCAGTATGGCATCACTTGTAAAAAAGTGAGCCACTGGCCTCAGGGAGGCGTCTTCAGCTAAGTTTTCGAACTCAAAAACTGAGTCGAAATTTGCTGCAGTACACGTCAACGCTTTCTTGAAAAAGTTTCGATTGAGTTTGGTAAAGTGATGTTCGAAACTATCTAACTCTAAGTCTGAGTGAATGTCAACATTCCTCTCGTACCACTCTGCGCCTGTTAGTTTTCGCAGGATCTTGTTCTGCGTGGCTGTGAGTTTCCCAAGCTCACTCCCTGAAACATTACACCATGCTGGCGAGGCATAGGTCATGATCGGTCTTATCATGGAGGTGTACAGTAACCTCTTAAGTTTCAGGCTCATCTTCCCACTGTACATCAAGCTTTGCAGTTTTATAGTTGCAGCGTTTGCCTTGTTCTTAACATTTTTAACGTGGTCCGACCAGGTCAGTCTGCTGTTAATAACTAGACCTAAGTAAGTTGCCTTTTTAACTCTTGGTATCACTTGGTTAAATAGTACCAGTTCGTTATGCTCTCTGATTGATTTCCTTGTCTTTTGGATAATCAACAGTTGGGACTTTTGAGCATTTACTTCAAATCTCCAGTCTAAACACCACTCTTCGTAGTCATAAATCTTATCCTTCAGTTTTTCTATAGCCAAGTTTGGATCTCTAGATCTTACTATGACCCCAGTGTCATCAGCATAAAATGCAGTTAAGCTATTCCAATCGCCCCTATCTATTGGAAAGTCGTGTGTAAGTTTTTACAATCTTAAATCTGGTAGCTATTTATTTTACTTTCTTGATTTTAGTTTTAAAATAATTCGTTTCTGTAACGATTATTTATATAAAATTTATTTAATGTTTACAAAGCTGTAAACTTATTTAGGGTTGACGTTAATCAGAGAAATATATACAAAGTGGTATCGTTAATATAAATAAACGAAATGGTATAACCTTTTATACATTTTACTTTTAATTAAAACACTTCTGAAGTATTTAACGTTCCAATTTATAATTTAATCAGATTATAATTTCGATTTTGCAATAAATGTAATTGGAATCATTTCTTTTTGTTCAAATTTTCATCAAATTGTTATTAGCTCCGCGCTGAAGACCATTTCCTTATGGCAGGGTTGTCAACTCTCTCCGCTTTTTGGCAATATATATTCTAATGGTAGCTAAATTTATGATTTAATCTTACAAGGATGCCAACTGCTCCGCTTTCTGGAATAGTTTTAATAAAGTGGTAGCAAACTATGTCGTAAAATTCGGTAAAGAAGGGTAATTACGCTTACTTTTTAATAGACTTACCAGTAGATTGATATTTAAACGTTGCATTTTATATGATACTTATAATTTTTGTTACTTAGTGGTGAAAAAAAATTACTTAAAATGAGAAGTACTAAACTAAAAGTAACTTAAATTTCGATACCACCAGAAAATACTATTTTACAAAGCGGAATAAGTTGGCATCTCTGAATCTATGATTTGTTGTCTCGTAAAAATGATTTAATACACTTATGCTGGGATGAAAATTGCTCCGGATGAGACAAAATATTTTAAAAAACGGTAGAGAACTGAAATTGGCATATTTTCGGTTTATTTTATTAGCTTTTTAAAAAGGCTCAACACGACTTAACAGTATTTATTTAGTGGAATTACATACATTTGCAGGCTTGTGTACTCAATTTAGGCTTATAAACCTTTGTAAAATAGAAGGACAGACAGCACGGAGATGCATCCAGGATAGCAGCGGGATTCAAATCCGTTTTACCTCCACGTTTCGCATAGTGTTTTGCGAGTGAATTTTATACTAGTGAACTAGACCTTTGCACTCCAATGTCACCCACGGAGGCACCATAAACAGGCACCACTTTAAAATTAAGAAATTTTGCACCTTAATAGTTAGTAAGTTCATTATTTTTAAGAATTTTAAAATTGCATGATAATACTATATTGTGTATTTTAAATGCTGAAGGGCTGATAGTAGATCAAACAGCTTTTAAAAGTACTCGGAGTGCAAAGGATTAATAGTTATAGGATACTAGTGAACTGGAATCTAAATTTAACTGTTGTAGTGGTAGATATGCTACAGGCTCTGAGTCGTACGCTTACAAGGGTCCTATATATAAATTAATATTGGTCCTATGTTCAAAACCATTCGAAGACCAGTATTAAAAAAATAAATACCCCAATAGTGGCCATATATTGTAAACCTATAAAAATCCTGCATAGAAATAAATACTTGGCCAGAATACAAAGCCATTCTAGGACCTATTATTACAAAACTTATACACCTCAATCTCAGTCCGATATCGAAGACCATTGTTTAGAAAGAAAGATATAAGATCATTACAGGCTAATTATTAAGGTCCAGTTTCTTAAATACATCTCTTGAACCTGGAAAGACTTAAATTATTTTAATAATATATATTTCTAAATATAGTTCCCTAATAAATGATTTACAATACGAACAATTTAATACCAACAGATTTTTCTTTTTTGCTCATGAGACATTTTTGTTTATTTCGCAATAATCCAAGTACAGTACAATATAAACATTCACCTTTTGAAAATAAATATTTTTTCTTTGCTCGTCTACTTAAATTCTGATAGTTCAAATTAAAGTTTGATAAAACTATACAAGATTGAAAGAAAAGTTTTGCTAAGGATTATTTATTTTGTTTTGGGATCATTTATTATGATATAAGAAAAATCACCGCGTTAATGCTTTGTCTTAAAGCTCTCAACTGATTCAAATATCTTGAAATTAATTAATTAATAAACTTATTATACTGCTTTTACTTATTATACGGCTTTTGTGGCCCAATATGGTGTGATTTGGCATAAAAAACTAAGCGATGTATGGGATCTTAAAAATTTATTCTAATTCTTGATATTACAGGGTATAAAAAAATAGATTACTTAAGCTGCACTTGAGCTATCGGCTCCATTTAAGAGTGGGTTTAGAAGATACAAAAAAATATCGGTTGAGTCTGACACTTCTATATCGATCCGACATAGGCTGAATAACGACTGTAAAATATTGGGTGAACTTCACAAATCTGCATAGGGCCGATATTGGGTATAAATAAAGGGAATAAAATATGGGGCTATTTTGACAATTTTATTCAGGGTAAACATGGGCTGAATAGTGGCTATAAAATTTTGGGTGAATCGGATATTTCTATATAGGTCGAATATTGGCAAAATAAATGGCCCTTTAAAACCTTGTTGAGCCAAGATTGGTGAATATTGGCCCAATGAGTTCGCAAGTTATATTGCTGCTAGCGTAAGATGTCAAGTTATAAGCGTTAATTTTAAATTTGTTGCCGATATGATAGCGAACCATTAACAGCTTTAGGAACAATTTAAAATAATGTATACTTTTAAATCAATTTATTATTGGAAGTTATATATTTGTTACCAGTAATAAAACTATATCGCATTATACGATGAAAAACAATTACTTGCTAACTCTATTGGTTTTCCCGGAAGATTTTATTTTTACATTTAACGTAATGGCAAAACTTCTAGAATCATATTTTAGTTTTCATTACATAAATACGGTTAGAAATTATTTTGACTGCCGCAGAATTTGAATAATTTATACATATATATGGTAAACATATAAATGAAAAAGAGACATGTACCAAAAATAAAACATTGGAGTTAATGACTAAGTGGTAACAAAATCAAGAGTGCAAGTCATGTCTAAATCTAAAAAGGATGTGATTATTTTGTAACGAGATATTATACAAAAATCAAATATTAGATAACAGTTTATTAAAAAAAAAAAAAGAAAAACATAACAACTTGACTGAAAGATAGTAAAAAATCCACCTGAATCGTTATAAACATGTTTGAAAAGGTTTGAACCTTACGCCTGCAAAAATATTCGTATAGTTAGACCAACATTAAAGTAAAATTCAACAAAAACCAATCGAGTAATTTCATTATCTTTTTCTCCATTTTAAGACTCTGTTTGCTCTGCTAAATAGGGAAAAATATAAATATTTTAATTCAGTTACAACTCCATTTTTTTAAAAATACAACCCTTTGGATCCGGTTTATTTAAATTCCGAAATAGCAGGAAATAACCAAATCAAAAACCTGGTATTAAGTGTTTGATTAAAAAAGTTTTTTTTTGTTAAATAGTTACCAAATATGACCTGACACCTTCACTAAATGCTTTCTCATTGATAAGATGTGGTAGTTATCAATACATTATTTCTTTCTAAAGTAAACTGATTGCGAAATATTTTAGTCACCACTTTTTATTTATTGGTAATAAATGCATTGACGAGTGTCACTAGTCAAATGTACCCAAAGGGTTAAAAACCATTTGTAGAAGTATGAAAGAACGAGAAATATTTGTAATGTTTAAGTGAGTTAAAAATATATTTGTAGACGAGAATAAAATTTAGCTACCACTTTTTTTTATTTATTTGTGGTCGTTACAGCCATGAAATTGGAATTTTCTTTTCTTAACTAAACCGAATTTTATTTTTCTTAAAGCCTGAAAATATCAGTTTTAAACATAATTTTATTTACAAAATTGCATTAAAAGTTTTTTTTGTTTTTGATATTATTTCTTAAGAAAGGATTAAACTTTTTGTTTAATAGGTATTAGATCATTCAAAACAAATTTTCATCACACTGATCATTAGAAAGCAGATTATTTATTGCTGTGTGATTAAGTTTGAGGGTTAATAACAATAATTTACTGTACAACACGAGAATGTCCTTTAGATGAAAATATGATTATCTTGTATATTTTTAACTGAAAACATAATTGCTTTTACATACAAAGTGGAACTATCCCCAAAATTCGGAGTTTAGTTAGGCGAAATCGTGTATTTTAACAGCATTTAGTAACTTATAGCGGCAAACAAGTGGACCGTTGTTAACTTGCGAATATTTTGGTGAATTAGGAGACAGTTTCGGAAATATGAGTCGATCTACCTTCCAATGATTTAGGACTTTAGCTGCATTAGGATTCGAGATATCCAAGAATTCACTAAACGCTTTCAGATTTTTTTGTTCGTTCTTTTCGTATAATATGTAATGAACCATTTTGGTTTGAATACAAAAAATCAAGCATCTTTTGTTTTTGTTTATACAAGACCATCCAGCTGCAATGGATATTTTATGTTTTAAAACATGAATTAAACATTTATTTTTTTTATATATACAGAATCTCAAAGTCACATTAGGATTCGAGATACCATAGAATTCACTAGAAGTTTTTCAATTTTTTTGGCAACTATTTTCCTTTGATATGTAATGAACCATTTAGGTTTGAATGCATGATTCAAAAACCTTTTGTTTTAGTTCATACATTATCTCACAGTCACACTGGAGGATTTCGGTTCCAGTACATAACTCAAGCTCTAGTTTCTGGATTTAATACATGGATTAAACACATTTTGTTTCTGTTTATACATGATCTCACAATCACAGTGGGGGATTTCGGTTCCAATACATAACTCAAGCTCTGGTTTCTGGTTTAATACATGGATTAAACACATTTCGTTTCTGTTTATACATGATCTCACAATCACAATGGAGGAATACAGTTCCAATACATAACTCAAGCTCTGGTTTAATAGATGGATTATATACATTTTGTCTTTGTTTATACAGGATCTCATTGTTGCAATGGACGATTGCAGTTCTAATACATGAATCAAACACTTTTTGCTTTAGTTTATACATTATCTCACAGTCACAATGTAGGATTTCGGTTCCAAATACATAACTCAAGCACCTTTTGTTGTCGTTTATATAGGATCTCTCTCTATTATTTAAGGGATAGTTAAAACGTTCAAATGTGTTGCAAAGTAGAATTTATCTACACCGGAATGTCATTCAGAAAAACCATATATGATGAGTAGTTCTCTATGCATCGATGAATAATTTGAAGAAGAGAAATAACTCTTCTGTCTAGAGCATGAAGGTGAGGTTCTGTTAGTACTGGAGCTACAGGATCTCCATAGAGACTTCCTCTCATCAGGTCACTTAGTGAACGTGGTCCGATTAAAAAACTGTACAGTTTGTTGAAGGTAGACAAACGTATCTGGCAACACTGGGTTAATGGCGCAATTATACTTTTCTCATCATGGTATGAACGCGCAAACCTATAAAAATAAAGTATGTGATTAAATTTTACATGTGCATGCAAAGATGCTAATTTGCTGTGCTTAACAGAGAGAAAATATTCTAATGGTAGCATTTTTTGTGTTTTTATGTTTGATTTTTAGTTTAGAAAATTAGATTTTAGTAAATTTAAAATTATTTTGTCAATCACTACATTTTATGAATTAAAACAATTATAAAAAATATCATATTTTTATCTCGATATGTTCCGTAAACTTTGACTATCATTTACAGAAGCTTGTATAATTTCACAAGCTTTAATGTAAATTTCACGACTAATTTTCGATGAATTCTGTCTAAGGCGGAGGTGCTAAATTTTTATATATATATATATATATATATATATTACGTAAGGACTTATCGTGGTACTAAGTTACAATTAATCACATGATTGAGATTACGTATCCGATAGATTTTTCCTTTATTAAGTACTTTTCCGAAGTTCGTTTCATGGNATATATATATCAGTTTGCATAGAGGTTCTATGCAAACTGATATTACTTAATGAGAGCATTCAAAGTAATTAACGAAAAATATGTTAATAACCAAAAACCGACTTCTTATAAGAAATATTTAAAGTGTAATGTAAAGTATTTATGTAATTATACATCCGATGAAAATGATTTTGATTACCATGACACTTTGATATTTCAAAATTCAGGACTCTAGATTTTGTCCGAACACCATGTATGCTAGCGTAATTAAGAACGATATATCAAAGCATAACTCTCGCTTCCCATTGAAAATTTAAAAATAAAATTTTATCAATATAAACTTTAAATTATCGGAAAACGTAAGGAATTAGCAGTACGGCACTTGAACTTCGAGATGAAGAAGACCCCAGATACCCACACATGTGATCTATGACGTCAGCTGATCGTTAATAAGTGAAATAGCATGTTATGGTTGAGCTAAGTTTCTACACATAAGTTAGAATTGTAATTAACGTGAAGTTAATCAAATACAGTACCGTATCTAACATCGGATTTGTTAAAATATATAATTCTTTCTCGTCTATGTCTTTTAGTTAACTTAATTTTACTATTTGTATTGTATTTTATTGTATTGTATTGTAGTTTACTATTGTATTTTATTGTATCCTTGATAAGTTTTTGTTTTGTGTACCTGGCAATTTATAATATAAATAGTTTGTTTATGTTCCACATGGCTTCATGCCTGTCTTTATGTTAAGAAATATATTGTGTAAGAATAGAAATCTTTGATAAAGAATCTTTTTGAATGAATATAGAATGTGTCAACTAAGAGAATTGATACTTGATGAACTTGGATAACTCAAAATAGAACGGAAAGAACAGTCGCTAACGTAAACAAATGTTACGTTTCAACAACCAATCAGGATCGAAATATCCACACAACGACACCTGCAGGTATCCCATTAATGCAAGATCTCCACGCACTCTTTTAAATGCCTAATACATTAATTTAATACTAAAATTACATAATATAGTTTCGTTTCGAGAAAAAGTAAACAGTTCACATTATTTCTCGTTCGTAATGTCGTATTCGTAATAAAATTCGATGTCTCCTTACAGTTCTTTCAGTATATTAGAATATATTTATTAATGGTCTTTTTTATTTTTGAGATAAGATATAATTTGTTGTTGTGAGTTTTTTTAATTAAGTAGTTAACTTACCCACGACCATTATCCAGATGAATGATTGTAGGAGAGCTGTCCTTGCCAAAAACAGTGAATTCATCATAGTCATGCCTATCTTCATTGCCTACAATGTTCATACAATTTGAGAGCTTACACAGTAGTTAACATTAATACAATTTTAGAGAGTATAGTCATGCCTATCTTCATTGCCTACAATGTTCATACAGTTTGAGAGCGTATACAGTTTTTAATATTAATGCAGTTTTATAACGTATAGTCTTGCCTATCTTCATTGTCTGCAATGTTCATACAGTTTGGGAGCTTATACAGTAGTCAACATTAATACAGTAGTTAACATTAATACAGTTTTAGAGCGTATAGTATTGTCTATCTTCATTGCCTACAATGTTCATACAGTTTGACAGCGTATACAGTATTTAATATTAATACAGTTTTATAACGTATAGTCTTGCCTATCTTCATTGCCTACAATGTTCATACAGTTTGAGAGCGTATACAGTAGTTAACATTAATACAGTTTTAGAGCATATAGTCTTACCTATCTTCATTGCCTACAATGTTCATACAGTTTGACAGCGTATACAGTATTTAATATTAATACAGTTTTAGAGCATATAGTCATGCTTATATTCATTGAATTTGAAGTTAACTTAAATAAATAATCCCGAGAAACTGAAGCGGTAAAATATTGCCTGATTGTAAACTTCATACGCTTGAAAACTATAAAAAAATAAGTCGACATGTTTCAAGCGCATCAGAAATAGATACCCATTTTCAAGACTTGACTAACGTGAATGCAGCGAAACAAAAATATTATTAAAAAAATTTAAAGTTGTCAACCAAAAACGAAAAAATAAAGGAACGAAACAAAAAAAGATAGAAAAACCGCAGAAGAAGAGAGAGAAAAAGATTAAAAACAGAACAAGAAAAAACGCAGTAGCCGCGAGGCACATCAGAATAAAATGTATTTCCACGCGTTATGGAGAGGCGGAAAAGAACTAAAGTTTTCAATAAGGGAATTAGCATTGAAATCAACTAAATAAGATTCCAGAGTATCAAGATGAGCTGATGTGACTGAGGTGGAAATAATTTCAGCTATTGCTTTACATTGTTGGAATCTTGGGCATGAATTCAATTTCGTCAACGCCAAAATCATTTCCTCCTCATTCACTTCAGATCATCTTCATACCCTGGAATCTTATTTTGTTAATTTGAATGCCGATTCCCTTATTAACGACATTAGTTCTTCCCCACATCTCCATAACGCCTGGAAATACATTTTACTCTGACGTGCTTTTCGGCCACTGAGTTTTTTCTTGTTCTGTTTTTCATCTTTTTCTCTGTCTTCTACCTTGGTTTTTTTAACTTTTTTGCTTCTTATCTTTGATTTTGATATTTTTCATTGGCGATTTCAAATTTTTTTCCGCAAATCTTTTTTGTATCGTTAGCTTCATTTCAATCAAGTCTTGAAAATGGGTGCCTATATATGATGCACGTTCTGCATGCCGTCTGTTATCTCATTTTTGTATATTTTCGAAGAGTGTGAAGTTTTCAATCAGGTTACATTCATTCTGAAGTGTTTGTTCACAAAATAAGATGAAATTAATATGACAGTTCTGTGAATTTCAGAGTGAAAAAAAAAATGTGTTTGCACATTTTTTAGCAGAGCAGCCACTTTTCTACGCATTTTTAGAAAAATTTCCTTAATTAATAGCTGCATTTATGTTTCTAATGCATGATGGTTTGTTTTGTAAATGTGATTTAACACGTTCACGCCTGGAAAAGTGAAAATACTGGGACGGGAAAAGAGAAAATACTGGTAGAAGAACTATTTCAATATTAGATAATATTCGGGAAGAGTTAATCTATTCTCAACAATAACAATTCACTATAAGGAAATTTATCACGGCAAAGAAGCAATTCAATATAGAAATTTCATCCGCTAAAAACAATTGGTAGTTATTGATTTTTATTTTTCCCGGAAAAAAAACAAAAAATAAAATTTATTTGTTACCAGTTTTTACTCCGATGCGCCGTCAAGATGAGAAAATCTAGCGTGACCCACCGGTGGGTCACCCCGACGTGAACGTGTTAAAGTCATATCCCTCATCGTGGTAATTATTTGAAATTTCATACGAAGCGCCCCTTTGTTCCGATTCTCTTGTGCTAAGGTGTATTTAAACGTTACCACCAAAACCTGAAATTCTAAAAAAAAAACTTTATTTTTTAATTTTCTACCACTCTATATTTTACAACAAGCGTTCTAGTTGGTAGCCTTGAAAATTATTATTAACCGGTTAACGCCCAGCGTCATATACATAGGACAGTTCCTTTTTTCAAAGACATTCATTGTGGTGGGAAACTTTTTTCAGCATTTTCATTTAGATGGGTGAATTAAAGGATTCACAGATACCAGCATGATTTAGTTATTTCTGATTACATGTAGAATTATAAGGAGCAAGTACTTTTTGATCTATCCATGACTTTTTGAATGTCCTGCTAACAGTAGAAAAACTATTAATTTCGATAATATATTATACCACTTTTTCCATAAAACCACTTTTTGAATCATTTCAATAAATAAATTCGGGACAAAACGGGTTTAGTGACAAATCAAGTACTCCTAATCTAATTACGATTATTGTGATCTGATTTCGATTGAATCGATGATTTTGCACTATAGAACGTTTTGTACTAATATATTTTTTAACTTATTCAAGATTGCCACAGGTGACTAGTAAAAAAGTGGGGACTCCTAAAAATCAAAATATATTAAAAGATATTAACTCTTTAATTTGTGCGCTCGAATTAATTCGAGCGCGCTAAACTGTGCACACTCGAGATAATTCGTGCGGCGATGTATTTTATGCTGCTATAATTTTTCACACTCGAATATCGATATATAATCGAGAATTGAAAATAACAATGTGAAAGCTAAGAAGAAAAAAATCGTTTTATTGATATTTATCATTTACATAGGATTGTAAGCTATAACACTTATTTATTCAAGAAGAAAATATAAAAAGATGCAAACTTTGCTCCGGACAGCAAATATATATTTGAAAGTGGTAGTTTATCAATTGTGATTCTTGGTTTAATAAATTGAATTTAGAGGATTTTTACGCACAATTATTTCTACATATTTCGTAGGCTTATAAAATCCACCACTTTAGAGTACTTACGTCATGCTATACTTTTTAAAAAGCAAACAAAAATAGTCAAATATTTAAATTTGCTTTGCAGTTATTTACCGTTTTCTTAATTATTTTGGCGTGTTCGGAGCAGTTGACATTTCTGAATATAGCCTATTTCCGAAAGTATTTCAAAATTGTCCACCAAAAGAAAAGACAATGCTCAAAAGTGTGTGTTTTTACATTAAAAAATAGATTTTTTGGCCGGTTATTTTTTCAAAAATTCTGTGCGGTAAGGGGTTAAAAAAGCAACTTTTTGTCATATTTGTTTCAGTTTACCATTAATTGGAGAGAAAAAAGTTTTTGCTTTGAATATGAATAATTTGAAATATAAGTTAGAGTAGTAGCTACGATTGGAAAATTAGAAAGAAAACAAATAGAAGTGATTTGAGTTTCTACCAATTTTTATATTCCTAGGGTATCCCAGCTTATTCTATCACAGATCTTTTATTTAAACGATAAATGTATCTTTTATCTAATTGACAGCTGATATATATTCATCATCGTTAGGATAAGTTTTAATGCGAATATGCAGTGTATAAGAAGTATTCAAAGTGGAGAATAACAATAAATTACGTATACGCATGCATATTTGAATTGAAACCTTAGAAAAAGTATCGCAAAAATAAATTAGATTTAAAATTTTAAAAAAGAAAATATAAGTAATAAAATAAATAACTACCAGTTTTTATTTTTTATTAAATTAATTATTATTACTTAAAATTTTGATCGCAATAATAGATCTTGCGCCACCCTAGTCATGTTTTAAATTAATTCCTCACATTTCGATATGTTGATGGAAGGAAATTAAGTGATATTAGTCCTATAAACCAAACTATAGTATCTCTCTTTAACTAAAGCATACCAGCCAACTTTTACGCATTTGGTGTAAAATTTTATTTTTATATTTAAAGTGGTAGTAAATATATACTATTTTTTCTTTTATAAACTAAATTTTTAAAGGATTTCCATCACCACTATTCCTAAAAGAATTAAGCATATTTATTTATATGCGTTACCATCATGATAGCATACCCTCCAACTTATGAGGATTTTGAAAATAATTCTTTCTAGTGGTAGCGAGCCAAAGTAGAAATTTTTAAAGCAAATGGATCTCTCATAAAACTTTTATCAGAACTTAGGAATCTAGCCATATGGCCTGCACGTTATAAATAATAGTGGACAAGTTACGCTAAAATTAATTTTTTTTAAATATTAAGACATTAATTTTGCTACCGTCTGAAAAAAAGATTTCTGAAACTACGGAAATTCCGTAGCAGTTGGAGGGTATGTGATAGGCAGCTCCTTTTCTCTGAGGCTATGTGGCTACTGTGCACCTGAGAAGCTCTTCTCTCTCTCAAACTTGTTTGTTCAATCTCACTACTTCATTGTAATTTTCTCTCAGTAAAAGATACTGAACCCCACCTTTCAGTTGCGCTTCGGCGATTTATCATTTATTTCCACTCAGATGAATTAGTTGGAGCCCCTAGCGGGGTTGATGCTAAGATAACCAACACATATATGAGTATGAGTGATAGGCAGCTTAAGCTTTTTCAAATGCAACGTATTTTTTTGCTTAAAATTGAAATTTTTATTCCATTTTAATACCACTGGGAAAAATCATAACGGAAGGGATTAAAAGTTGGCAGGTATGCTGAAGTGAGCTCTACGTACATGATTATTACCGATGCATGCCTTTAGCGTGATGCAGATTTTTACGTAATGTAAACTTTCTCAACATTTTAAGTTACTTCAAATTTTCTCTCGTAACTTGGTTTTGAAATTGTGACCAAAAGAGATGATGAAATGAATTAAAAATAGGTTGTAATTTAACACGTTCACGTCGGGGTGACTCACCGGTGGTTAACGCTAGATTGTCTCATCTTGGCAGCGCACCGGAGTAAAAACTGGTAACAATAAATATCATTTTTTAGTTTTTTTTCGGGAATAATAAAAATCCATAAGTACCAACTGTTTTTAACGGATGCAATTTTTATATTGAATTGCTTCTTTGCCGTGAAAAATTTCCTTACAGTGAATTGTTATTGTTGAGAATAGATTAACTCCTCCCGAATATTACCTAATATTGAAATAGTTCTTCTACCAGTATTTTCTCTTTTCCCGTACCAGTATTTTCACTTTTCCCGGCTTGAACGTGTTAAAGAATCTGGCTTAATTGCTCTTTTTTTCCTGTAGTTCTTGTTTATTCATAAATGAGGAAAAAATGATTTTTTTAAAAATGTCATTGTACCACGGTGTTTGTCCTTTCAGAATAATAAGTTATAGTTATTGATAGAAAACTCATAAAAATGTCTTCACTTTGGATTATACTTAAAATACTGTCCGTCTTTTCTGTCAGAAAAAGAAAAATGATGTAAATTTTAAAACGGCACTTAATTGCAACTTTGGTAATTTTTTCATGAAAATAGAATGATACTTCATTGTTTTCTTTTCCAAACATTTGTATGTATAAAGAAAAACTCTACCAAATTAAACTGTTTTTCCAAAATGCAGAATAGCAGTAAATTGCATATATGTATGCATATTTGAATTGAAACCTTAGAAAAAGTATCGCTAAAATAAATTGTATTTAAATTTTAAAAAAGAAAATATAAGTAATAAAATAAATAGCTACCAGTTTTTATTTTTTATTAAATTAATTATTATTACTTAATATTTTTTATTTTTATTCTCGCTCGAAGAACCATATCTCAATTTAATGCTTTAAATCAATTCCTCACATTTCAATATGTTGATGGAAGGAAATTTAGTTATAATAGTCCTACATTCATAGTATCTATCTTTAACTAAATACGTACATGATTATTACCGATACATGCCTTTAGCGTGATGTAAATTTTTGCGAAATGTAAACTTTTTCAACATTTTAAGTTATTTCAAATTTTCTCTCTTAACTTGGTTTTGAAATTGCGACCAAAAAAGACGATGAAATGAATTAAAAATAAGTAGTAATTTAAAGAATCTGGCTTTATTGCTCTTTTTTTCCTGTAGTCTTAAAATACTGTCCGTCTTTTCTGTCAGAAAAAGAAAAATGATGTAAATTTTAAAATAGCACTTAATTGCAACTTTGGTAATTTTTTCTTGAAAATAGATAAGACTTCATTGTTTTCTCTTCATCTTTCCCAAATATTTGTATATATAAAGAAAAACTTTACAAAATTAAACTGTTTTTGAGGGGGGAAGGAGGCGACGATCCTTTTTTTTCTGATAGGCAGTGTTGCCATGTGCCGATAACCGTTCACCCCCAGATTGCGTTGTAAAATCCCCTAAAAATTTAAAACAAAAACCCAAAATTTTTTACTTAATGTATAAGTATTAAAAGATAGTACAAAAGTTAAATAATGTATAGAAAACATTGCTTTAGTACTATTTAATATTTTATTAACCACGAATTAATCTTTTTTTCAATCGTTGCATTATCTTTAATTTCTACTAAAATATTCAAGATATTTTTTTCAATACTTTTTGACTCACACATTTTTTGATAAATATTTTATTATCAAAGATATAGTCTTTTTAATATTTTAATTCAAACATTATGCTTAAATTTCTGATAAAATATCCAACATATTTTCGTCAATACTTTCTGATTTGTATATGTTTTTGCTGTTAAACATTTTTAACATAGAAGAAGCGCAAAAAAGCATCAGCTGTAGTTATAGACATTTTATTTCTCAATTTGTCTTTAAAAATATTTAATATGGAGAAACGTCTCTCCACAGTTGCATTTGAAAACGGAATACTTAATAAAGCTAAAACAAGAGTCGAAATATGTTTGAATTTTAAATTTCCACAAGAATTTTTAATTTCACTCATTTTTACCCATAAAGATTCTGTAGAATCACAATTCAAATCATATACATCCGAAAATAAATTCCACTTAGCAAATGTTTCATCAACATCAATACAAATTGATGAAAAATTTAGCAACAATATCTGTAATATTTGCCTTAACAAATTTAAGTTTTGAATCCGGTGAATGTAGACTCTTATGTTTCAAAATTATCTGGTATTCTGTTCTGAATTTCTTTGCATAATTTAACAACAAAATTTATGCATCTTTCTTTAACATAACGTACGATTTCGGAATCAATATTTATTGCAAGAGAATTGAATTCGTAGTTAAAATCAACACAAAAGGGAATCATTAAAAACGACTCAAAATTGAAATTATGCATTGATAATTTATTCACTTAACTATTGCGGTACAATGATTTGCTGTAAAGAAAAAAAATCAACTCGTGTAAATCTTCGAATAATTTTAGCTAGTAAACTAGTAAAATTCACAAATAACCCTAAAACAAACCCCTAAAAACAAATTCCCCTAAAATACCCACTGAAGATAAAAATTCCCCCTAAATTTAGGAGAAGGCCCCTAATATGGCAACACTGCTGATAGGTTTAAATAAAAAATTGGGTATGTAGCATTCTTTAAACTTTCAGTGGCTCTATAATGGGATCAGTGTAACATTTTTTATTATTGCTGTGGTTTAAGCAATTTTCAGGACAGAAAAACGCAAAAATCTGTTTTTCACTAAATAGGTTAAATTTTGCACGAAAAAAGAACTTGGAAATTAGAAAAACGTCTTCTGAGATTTTAATGGGACATGGTTTAATTACCTGGGCCTTTTCTAGATAAAGAAAACGTGACGCAATCTTAGAACAAAATTGTTAGGCTTCAAATTCATATGTTTATTTGCAGACTTTAAGTTGTTAGAAAAGTAAAGAGAAACTAAATTTATATAATTGAAAAGATTCTATAGAATTATCCCTTTCAAGTTTAAAGTCTACTTGAGTTGGTAATTTATGCTAAACACTTACCAATAAGAAAATCGAAAATGGCGCAATCTATGACATCATACAACCTCCTAGTTGATTGAAATAATTTCAAATTCTTGACAACATCGTTACAATAATTTGAATTCTTTTCCCATTCGGCTTTCAAGCCAGGTATGTAAGTCCTCTTCCAAGGATTTTGTACAAGTCTTTGAGCCAACAACTCATAAGGAGCTGGAGGTAAGTAGGCTGCAAAACTCCCTTCAATGATGTCGGGGTTTCCACAGAAACTATACCGTTTATCACAATACATTCGGCACTTTCCATAGAAACAATACTTGCCCTCTAAAACAGAGAAAATATTTATAATGCAATAAACACTATCTGAGATACGGATAATTTTTTACTATTTTGGAAAAGCCAGAAACAAATTGATTAAATACCAAACTTAACTAATTTAAACAGGGTTACAACGAGTCTAAAAAAAGCTTAATAGCTGCAACGAATAGGAAACAAACCTCAATTATTCAACTTATCTGTGAACACAACTTTCCTTATGTTTTTTTTAATAAGCAGCTATACGTATATATTTGAAAATAATTTTCCAAAAGTTCTAAAAATTCAAAGTGCTATCTTAAAATATAGGATTTTGCTCTGGTAATTGTGAATGTCGTAGTTTTCTCAACCTTGAATAAGATGACGGAGACAAAGGGAAAAAATGCTATGTAAAAATNTATTCCCACCACGGACGAATTTGAAGGGTTAAAGCGGTTAACCTGCTTCTGAATATTAGTTGGATTTTAATTTAAAGAAGTGTAAATTTTTAAAGAGTTCAATAATTGACTTTTTGGGACACTTTATTGAGATGGGGGAATTTAGACCCTCTTTAGAGAAAACTTCGGTAATCCAGAGCCTCAAATTCTTAACATATGCAAAGTTTCCTTGGATTAACGAGATATTATCGAACATTTATTCAAAATTTAACGTCGCTTTAATTTGTTTAGACACTAAGTGACTTGCTCAGGATGCTGAGTATTTTGGATTAAACGAAAAGCGAGATGGGTGTTTAAAAACAAGCAAAACAATATTCGCCATGTGAAAGAAAATAGAATAAAAGAGAACAAACCCGCTGTTATGTAGAATGTATTGATGAGATCCAAGTTTTTAATCAATGGAAAAAGTTCTGACGCTATGTTGATTCTTCTCCCTACCACAGGTGGTGCTCGTCTAAATCCCAAAATCCTAAATGAAAATTTTATACTTTTTATTAAAACTTTAATAAAAATGTATAAGCATTATATTTTAAAAATTTATGTAGGTATATTACTAAAAATAAACATGAAATTAGATTTAACTAGTTACAGTGTAAATTCAAGAAAAATATATTAATCCATCTTTAATGTAATTGCCTCAATGTGATTCAAATTTTTTTCATGTTTAGGAAATGTAAGTTTAGAGAAAAAGATTATGTGATATTAAATTCAAGCAATGTCTGGTTAAAAATTTAAACTTTCTTTATTACTTTTGATTTATTTTTTTGAAAACTTATAGATAACTATCAGAAAATTTTCTTATAATTTGTTTTGTTTAGTCTACCATTTTATGGGTTGCAGGAAAAATAGCTTGGTGTATTTTCGAAAAAGTAATCATTCGTTTTTTATTGTTATATTAATTAGCGTTGCACCGCAAAACATTGGAATACTTTAAAATAATCATGTGTATGTAGAATGTTTCTAAACTCAAGGGTAGAAATTTAAGGGACGATAGAAAACTTATAAAAAGCAATTTTAACATGCGAGAGCGGAGAGTGAGCTAACTATTAGGAGGTATTTGCTACTGTCACGCGAAAGAATGAGAAACCGTACAGAAAGAGGAGGGAAGACTAAATAAATTTTATTGGTGGCATCTGAGTAAAAATTACAAAAACTGTTTAAAAAAAAGCGAACGCTTCTAGGAATACAGGTGTTACATCTTTGGCGTAACAAGTTTTTAAACACACCCTGCATTTCTCAGACAAGCAACAGGAATCTTGGCAAATAGGTTAGAGTTGATGAGGGCGAAACTTTTTAAATGGTCTCACAGGAAAAAGTCCAGACAAGAGAGATCAGACGGTAGCCAAGACAAGGACCTACCCGGACTAGTCCATCTCCCTGGGAATTTGAAGTACTCAGCACATTCAAGCTGAAACAGTATTGTACTCTGTAACGCTGGCACAAACGCATCAGGACGAAAGTTCATACGGGAATTGCAGCGCGAAGTAGTAATGTAATGTTGGCACAAACACATTTTATGTTGGCTGCAGTAGTTTGAAGTAATTGGGGCAATATCTTTAGTAAAAATGTGATGTATGTTCTGCCGTTCACAGTCAAAATGACAGAAAGTATGGGCTGATAAAAAAGTTACCCAGAATTGCATGTAACAAAATTACGATGTAAAGAGGCTCGAAAGAACGTGTGTCATATGGATTGCGAGATGCCAACTTATAGAGGCTGTGCATATTAGAAATGCTGTAAAGAGTGATAACGCATTTTTTTCGTGAATAACACGTGGGCACTAAACTCAGATTGACTTACTAGCTGTTTCGAAAATCAATATGCAAACTTGTATGCTGGCTCATACTCTGCAGGTATTAAGCCTTGTACTTTTTGTACATGGTAGGGTATAAACCTTCGTTGCGTAGTACTCACTAAACAACGGAGAGGGGCTCTTAACAGGAAACCTTTCGCGTTCTAATATCCGTACGATCTACCACTCTTTGCAGGATGTCTTCCACAATTTCTGACTTCTGCAAACTTCTGCCACGCCGTGCATTATGCATGCTAGGAGCATCATGATGTGACGAGGGCGGAATGAGTTTCGTCATTATCGAATTCATCAGTATATCCTGATACTCTTGAATCTTGCTTGAAGACTATCTTTTCGAGAAATCTTGACAACACTCTAACAAAAAATTGCAGATAGCAAAATTGTATAAGTGAAGAAAAGTTAGAAATAAAATAGTTTTACTGATAGTTTTATTTTAAATTTTTGAAAAACTTCAGCACTTTAAACCATAGAGAAAATTTCAGGTTAATAGTACTTATTCTACAATATCATATATAATTGAATTTCGTAGCATTTTATTCTCATTTTATTTGTTACTTCAATTCTAATTGTCAAAGCAAAAGAATATTATACCTAAACAAAAATTTTTCTCAGAAACATAAAGCATAAAATCAATGACTTCTTGCAATAAACATTTCAATACCATGGAAATGAGACAAAATTAATATCCTCATTTAGTAAATACTAATGATGAAACCTTATGATTATTACCTGTCTAAATGAAAGGCTGCAATTTCACTGACATGTCGCTCATGATCACTCAAATATAACGTTCTCATAGGCACTGCTTTATCTCTAGGATATCTGAGAAAGAAAAAACGTAAGCTTACAAGGAATGTATCAGTACATATACATTCCTTACTATNATATATATATATACCAACAAATGAGTGTCTCCATAAGTGCTTACTCGAAAAAAATGCAGAAAAATGTTCATGATTTTACTTATAAGAGAATAGATAAAAATTTAACTGAAACTATCACATATCACTAATTTCAAATAGTTACACACCATCATCGGTACTTCTTCATCTCCAGGAAAGGTAAGAAATAAATGTAGGCTTAGAGCTAATGTTTCCATAGCCATCGTTCAAAAACGTTTCAAAAAAATTTAAAGGATTTCATTAATATCCGAACAAGGATAGATAAAACAATCCCGCATCACAAATTTCAGACAGTCACACACCACCATAGGCATCTCTTCATCTCTAAAAAATCTAAAAAAGAAATGTAGGCAAACAGGCAACGTTTTCATAGTCATCTATTTAAAATCTTTGTCACAAAAATGTACAAAATTTCATTTGTATCTCAAACATAGAGAGAAATTTAAATGAAACTATCACTAATTTCACACGTTGGCGTGCACTGCCTCCTGCAGCAACATAGATCTAAATTCTTTCCAGGGGTGCTCCGAGCGTTCTAGGCGACTTGTCCTGCACCTTCTGCACCAAACGTTGGGTTGCCAAATCGAGTACCCCTGACATCCATCATGCTGGCAGTACTCATCTGACTGCCGCTGAGATCACCGTAGTCAATTAATTGGCAATTTTGTCTACATTTTTACCGGATTTGATGTGATTTGGAGAGAATGTCAAAATAAACAAATTTAGCGATGTGTTATTGTTTTAGGTTGACCATTTTTATAGGATCTCGAATATAGGCATGATTAACATCTGCGCTGATTATCCTTATATATTTTTTTTCTATGACGTCCGTGAGCCTTCGATGACGCAGAACGGCGAGTCCGATAATTACGTTTTTCAAATATATCAAATAGTTTTCGAGCAAAACGGTTTCGCTCACATATACTTCATATGAGGTATCGCAATATGCAATTAAAAATAATCGATATTTTGAAATTTCCAGGTCAGAAAACCCCTTAACACAATATAGGCAAAGTAAGAAATGAAAAATTTTAAAAATGTACACAAATATAAATACTAAAAAGATCATTCGTCATAGATACAGAGATGCCAACTTACTTCGGACAGAGAATAGATATTTTCGAGTGGTGGTTTATTGATGTGTGATTCTTGGTTTAATAAATTCAATTTATTAGGTTTTTATCCACCACTATTTCTAAATAATTTGAAGGCTTATATCATTTGCCACTTTGTATCATGTAAGTCATGCTCCACCGTTTTAAATGTAAACGGAATTAGTCAAATATTTGCAAATTTAAGTTCGTAGTTGTTAACCATTTTTTAAATTAAAATGGCGCATCCGGAGCAGTTGGCATCTCTGAGGATGCATATTTAATAAGACACCGGTAGCACTTTCCAGTAGAAAAATATATCTGTATATACATATCAAATTTAATTATAAAATATATTGTGGTTGAAATAAGAAACTTGAGAAATATTACGAACAGTCAAGAAAGTGTTAATTATTTAACTTACCTCATCGGTTTAAAAAGAGCTCTTCCTCCATCTTCGAAAAATATAATAAATTTAAGTTGTGTACCACCAGGGTGTTGTTCTGCAAAGAGAATTTCTATCAAACAATTAAATAAATACAATGCTTTTCTTAGTTTTCAAAGTCCTTTTAAATTGCATTAAATATATTTCAATACGAGCAGATATTCACCAGTCACGTAGCCGTGCCTGAATACGCCACCGGAGCCAACGCCTCCCATAGCTGAAAACTTCCACGCCACTATGAAGATAAACCAGTTTACGACAGAGCTATGTAATAGAAAATCTAGTAAAAGTAAGAAAATAGTAGAAAATATATATCTAAAAATTTATTTAATATATGAATATGATTGGTTTGTTCTTATATACTTGTCAACCACCAAAGATTCAATTCTCAAATACATAGAAAAAATTTATCTCAATTACTTTTAAAATGGAATTTGGGTTCATGATCATCATTATCATCGAAATATATCTGGGCGCCTGGCGCCGTTAGCGGCCTTTTTCCCATTCGTCTTGTATTTGGGTTCATGCGCGCAACTGGTTCCCCTTTTAAATAATACTACTTTAAAAAAAAACAGTATAGATGTAGGAGGTGATGCCGGAGCATTGTCTAGTTCCCAAGATATTTTATTAATTTATTTTACTTTATTTACTTTCATAATGCACATATTTTTGTCCCCTCCATTTTCGTTAGCTATTCATATAGTGCTACAAGTAATAACTATTAATAGAAAATTATAAAATCCTGAGACAATTAAATTATATTTTTTCGATATGAAGTTGATAAATTTTAAGAATGAAAGTTGAACTGAAAACTTTAAATATTTTAAAAAGTTTCATTAAAAATCTTTCATAAATTTAAAATTATTCCTGCTAGCATTAAAGCACTATCACAGCATACTACTGATTGCATACAACATACAATCGAAAATATCCCCGACACACTTCAAAACGATATCATAAATAGTTTCTTAGAAAAGGTTCATAGAAAAAGGTAAGTTTCTGCGTTATTGATCTATGCCCTACTGACTCTCCTTAATTATTTGACCGTTTAGACATATATGTCCCGCAGAAGAAGACACTCACTTCAACAGGATATTCATTTCCAGTGGATCCCATCCCATGTGGATCATTTGGTAACGAGAAGGCAGACTGTCTAGCAAAGAACGGTTGCAGCCTGCCAACTTCTGCATCTGATGAACTTACCTACCTAGAACTTTTCTCTCAGATGAAAAACTTAAATAGGAGGGTTTGGCCGGTGCCTGTCACTCATGGTTGGAATAGTGTTAGTAAACCGGCACAGTCGTTGATTCTTCCATGTGACAGAAAAAACAATACTTCCTTTTCACGCCTTGCCAGTTGACATCTAAAATGTCCTACTTTTTCTCAAGGTATAAAATCCTACCCTCTCTGCCCAAAATGCCAGTTGCTTGGGACTTCTTTGGTAAGAAATTTACACTTCTCCTCTCCTTGTTTCCGACTTTTTGCTCATCAACGGACTTATGGATCTGGTTTGAAGCCGTCAGACCTTTGGAGATAAGTAATAACAACATCAAGAAGAAGAAAACACGGGCTGGGATAGCCTGATCGGTAGGGCAATAGGCTCATGTCCGAGAGTTCATGGGTTTGAATCCCGCCGTCTGAAGACTCCCCGTGTAGTGAAATGGTGCTTCTTGCATGTTAAATCTATCGAGTTACAAAGTTCTCCAGGTTCCCATAACAAATCAATACCTCTGGGGTACCGAATTGGAGATTTATCTTTCTCTGATTCAGGTCAAAATTATGATCTGTGGATGAATGAATGGGTCCGCCCTATAAACGGGCGTGACGTATGGGTGTGGCAGAAGGCGAATTCTTGGTCATAGATGGAGCCACTGGAAAACAAGAACAATCACACCCCTCTACCTTAACAGGCATACGAGAGAGAGAAGAAAATACCGTTAGGATGCATGTGTCCTGTCTAAAAACCCCAGTTGGACGCATAAGTGCCATCCCCCAAATTGTACTAATAGTTATTAAAGTAATGATTTGTCTTTTTATTGGGAAAAAAACTGCTTTCGAAAGGGTTACATTATAAAATGAAGTTGTGGTTAGCATTCTTTTAATTCGAAATCATTAAAATTCGAATAGAAGGAATGATGATTAAGGAATTCATAACGTTTGATAATAATAGGGGTGACTATTATCAATCGTACATTATCCGTGTGTACGGATATTTCCGTAGAAATTGGAGATAATGCTCAGGGTAATGACATGATTTTTTTCTTCGCCGTGTAATCCGTTTCTTGATACGATGGTGTAAATGTACATATTGTTCAGAAACTGTTCTTACAAAGTAAGTGGTATATTTAACTTAAACATGGTGTACATTTTTTGTTCAGGGCTGTTTGTATCTCGCTAAGGAGATATGAGTATTTATAAAACCAGTCCTTATTTACATTGTTTTGGGCATTAGTAAACATTGTATTTGGGATAGTTGGGATTAGTAGCTGTGGCTACTAACACTTACTACATATTATCACATGAATGCAGGATAATTTCTTTAATTTGGAAAAATTAAATAGGTGTAGATAATTAATAATGGAATGTAATTAAAGTTTCAGCTATAAAATCATATTATTACCTTTTTTTCCACCATGAAAAGAGTTCAATCTATTTTTAGGGGCTACGTTTAATTTTTTTTAAACAAAAAAGGGAAGAAAAAAAATTCTATAATTTAAGACTAATGCTAATTTTTTCGATGCCATATTTCTTAATTTTACAGTAACAAGTAATAGGAATGAAATTAATTAACGCCAATGCTGTTATCGTCAATGATCGAAATTATTTATCGTCTGTATCGAAATTATTTATCGTCAATGCTGTTATTTTTTACGTTTTATTTGTCAAAAATTTGATTTTTCTTCCTATTTCTTCACAAATGTAAACCATACTTTTATAAATACTCCATCATATATCGTCGTGATATATATTTGTCAGATATATTGAGCAGAATTTGGAACAATTTTACCTCTTGGAGAATAATATTTAAGATTTGTTTTTCTGTTTGTATACTTTTGCGTAGTGATTATATATAAAAAATATAATTTAATTCACCCAAGTTGATCAGAGTGTTTAACCACTATGAAAAAAATATATGAGAGGTAAGAAATTTGATTTACGTAACAATTTGGACAGTTTTATGGTTTATAAATATAGAGTGCTTACATTTCTGGAATCTTTCTTTAAAGTGGTAGCTAAATTGAGATGTATTTAGTTGTGTTAAGCTATCAATAAAATTTAATTTTTAGGAAAATTTATGTGAGTGCAAAAAATAACTCTTGAACAGAATTTTCAAATGAAAGATAAGTTTAACCATTTTTTCAGTATTTTTGTAAAATCTTAGCTACCACTTATTTTTTTCCAGGTCTTATTACTTGAATCTAGTGGATTTTAATTTTTTTACCAAACTATAAAAAAAAATTTAATCTAACTATTTAACCAAATCATAAAAAATATTTTGCAATAAGCAAATATTGTTAAAAACTAAAAAATTATAATTTTATGAAATAATTAAAATTACCCAATAAAACTTAATAAAGTTAATTAACTGAATTATTTTATAATAAAAATAAATATTTCCTCTCTGTTAAAGAGCTGTGTGGATAAAACGGGTAAGTCATACCTGCCAACTTTTAATCCCTTCCATTATCATTTTTCCCAGTGGTATTAAAATGGAATTAAAACTTCAATTTTAAGCAAACAAATACGTTGCATTTGACAAAACTTAAGTTGACAATCATGATAGTTCTGCATATTAATACATGTGCTTAATTTTTGAAAGAATAGTGGTGATCAAAATCATTTAAAAATTAAGTTTGTAAAAGAAAAAATAGTATGCATTTACTACCACTTTAAATTTGAAAATAAAATCTTCGGGAAAATCCGGAAGAGTTGGCTAGTAAGGGGTAAATGATATTATCAGAGGGGCTTAAACCCTTTCGCGCCGACTGTCACAAGTACGTGCCAGCATAAAACCGTCTCAATCAGGGTAAAAAGATAAAACTGGTAATCAAAGTATTTCGCTAGCAGTTTATTTGTGGGCGAAGTTATAATTGCTTGATTTATTTAATTCACCATTACTTTGTTCAAAATAAAACTATTTAATTATACTTTGAATTAACATTGATTATATATATGATTAAGCTAACAATAATTATAGTCAAAGCAAAGTAAGTCTGTCAAATTAGCAACGACTACATTTAAGTTACCGTTTTTTATTTAATTACAACTTGATTCTGATTTTGTACGAATGTTTTCTGAATCACCCGTCCCCAAGGGGTTAATTGGAGTAAGAAAGTAAAATACTATTCTATCACAGATCTATTGGAAGGCGGAACTATTTACCCTTATTCTTTGACTTATTTTATTTACCACTAACTAATTTAAAATGAAAATCTTCCAACCAAACTCAAAATCCAAACTCATTTGAATAGGAAATGTCAAAAGTAAAGTGAAAGCATAGACAATTATATGTTACAATAAACATTCCCATCCTGATAATAGCAATTTATGTAATATTCCCAGATAAATAAGTACCCTTGAAAATATCACTTACATACTTATCAACTTCAACTCTCTTCGATGATGATTTACCCAAGTGTGATTTAACAAGAGGTAATAAAATTACTACTGAATTACCAATCATATGCAGAAGAGTATTTTTTAGTCTGTAAGAGCACAAACCGACCATCATATGAAGATCATATTTCTAAATATATGTTTACTTTATTTATAAGCAGTAATAGTCAAAATCATTTTAAATCATGTTTATTAATTCAAGAAATAAATAGAATGCATAAATTTTATTAGCACTTTAAGTAGAAATATAAATTTTTATGCAAAATGCGTAAAAGTTGGCAGCTATGCACTTATCTGCTTCATCTACTAAGTTCCTTTATTATGAGTTTACTTTCTTCTAAACTACATATTAAGCAGAAACCAATACTTAAATCTCACATTCCGGATAAATATAGAACATAATAAGGAATGATTTATGCAAACATTACGTATTGACTCCTTTCAGTAAAATGTAATAAATTAAAAATAACAAATTAAAAATAATAAATTAAAAATAATAAATTAAAAATAATAAATAAAATAGAATAATAAATTTCTCTATTTTAATTTATTGCTAACCCCTAATTTCACTGACGATCTATACTTAACATAAAATTGCAAGCATATGATTTGTTTCTCTGTATAGGTCTATTTTATTGCTTTTAGACTGAAAAAAAACCTACTATTTCAGACTAGGAAATTCTTTTTACCTACAGCAATAATTCTTTGTGTGGCCATATCTTGCAAAAGTCCTTCAATTATTGTAGAATCTTCATATAGGTGATTTTTACTAATTTGATAGTGGAATTTTGTCCAATTCGGCATTTCGTCCCTGTGAAATCAAATATATAATGTTGATTTATCCACTTTTGAAAAATGCAGAAGCAAAATAATTTGAACATTTATAAAATTAATTCATTATAATAGAATTTAAAAGGCAGGATGATTGAAATATTTTTTGCTTTGCTTCTTTAAAAAAACTAAATGTTATTAACAGGGATGCCACAGGTGACTATAAATGTAAAAAATGACAGAATTCAATGAATTTTGAATTATTTATTATTTCCTTAATTAGTCAATCGTAACTACCACTAGGATTTGCTTTTCAAATTATTCATATTTAAAATAAAATCCTCATTTGCAATTATATATTTATACGATAACACCGTAAAAACAAATAGATCAATGGCGCTGCGCGCCCAACACCAAGATAACTCAGATATCCAGCATACCTAATACATCTGGCATGATGTTTCCTCTACTTTATATTTTTTTACAGGTTCTAATGAACCAACACTACACCTATTGTACGTATGCCCCCCTTTTTGGGATAACACAAGATGGATGGGAAAATGGCCATCAGGACTCAGATGCCCAGTTTTTAAGCAAAAAAGAAGAAGACCATGCGAGCACTCTCTAACTCTATAGTAAAGTTTAAAAAAATTACAAAAAGTAGCTAATTTTAATCTTTTTAATGAAATTTTAAATAACATTAGTCACCACTTTTAGCATGGCAACCCTGTGTTAAATTATTTGACATTAGTTATTCTGAAGAAAGCAATGAATTAAGAGAAGATTGCAATAGCTTGTAATATTGATGTGATCTCATTTTGGAATTGTATTGAAATCGTGCTAACATACCGTAACTAAATTAACAAATTAATAAGTTTTCTGAACATTTTGTCTTCTGAACTGAAAAGATTATTACAATATAGTAATAAGATGTAATAGCTATTTTGGTGGGTTCAAGACTCAAATCATTTTCAATAAAAAAGTATACAATTTACGATCGATATATTTTTAATAAGCAAGAATGCTAACTGCTCCGCTTTCTCCTAACATTTTTTTTAGTGGAAAAGTAAAATATACTGTAATTTATAGAAATTAATATTTTCATACATATGGGCCTCATACGAGGACAAATATATTTTCACGTCAAAATGTTATTTAGATCCGCATTTGTGTTGTAATTTACAAGTACTTTTCATTTGGAGGCTCCAAACAGTTCTTGGTAACCGCACCAGGTGACAGGCCATTCAAGATACACTGGTGGACAAAATTAAGAGATGGAAAGCATTTTCGCACATTTATTCGCACATGCAAGATACTCGCACACCGCTCCATGTGCTTGACAATGGTTCCGTGAATGCCCAGAGGTACAGGCAGGAGGTCCTAGAGCCCTATGTGCGCCTTTTCAGGGGCGCTGTTGGCCCTGAGTCCATTTTTATGGACGACAATGCGCGACCACATTAGACTCTCATGATTGATGAGTATCTGGAAAGTGAGGATATTCAACGAATGGATTGGCCAGCCAAATCCCCTGACCTGAATCCTATTGAACATGCTTGGTATTCTCTTGGGAGAGCTATTGCGATGCGCCAACCTTCCCACAGAGCCATTCTAGAGTTAAAAACTGCTCTGGTGGAAGAATGGGAGAGTCTTCCACAAGTCCTCCTTAACTCCCTTATTAACAGCATGCATACTCGTTGTGCATGCTGTCTGTCTGTCAGGGGTGACCATACACCATACTAGAGGCAACACACACTGTACAAGCCTCACTTTTATTGTCATCTTTTATCCTTAAGTTCAGACTACATTGGATTTATTGGCAATAGGTCTTGAAAGTGAATGGCACTTTCCTTTTTGTTTTGCATGCTTTATATCACGGAATAAGCTATATCCATACCAAATTAAATTTCATTTATTTATAATCAGTATTATTTGAGATATTGGGAAAATGTCTTCCATCTCTTAATTTTGTCCACCAGTGTAGTTAAAAAATATGATCAAGATTTTATCTCCCTCAAAACAGATCGAGTCAGTTGGCATTTTTGGTAATACGTTAAAATTTGTTATAAACATTTCATTAATGTGAGCAACATTTCAATTTCTTTTAAAGAGTTACTCAAATGCATAATTTTAGATAAAAATGTAACTACTTCTTTTTTGGTTTAATATTTAAACTTACCTGAAAGTAATTGCTGACTGAAACTTTCAAGCATTTAACGAAACTTTGAATTTCTTTGTTCTGACATAGAACTACAAGTATTTCACTAACAGTTTTAACTCAAATTTAATGTTATTAACAGTTATTATTTGAGAAATTGTTGTTGTTGTTTTTTAACAAATTTTATATCTTTTTAATTCTATCATTTAAATTTGATAACTGTGCTTACAAAGATGATTTATGTTTTCATTTCTTGTTACAAACCATTGACCGAGAAAATGTTCTATCAACTCTTAGCGTTTTTTTACCTGTTACAGCTGATAAACAATTCTTATCCGATTTTAGAAGAGACATTAATGTTTAGAATCAAAATAGCTAACCAAAAAGTAGATCTTTATAGTAATTTAAAAAGTGATATTTACAGTTGCTCGAAAAGAGATCTTTACAGTCGATCGAAACGAGGTCTTCAATCTCGATTAAAAAGAGATCTTTACTGTCAATTGAAAAGAGTTCCTTGACAAAAGATCCTTACCGTCAATCGGAAAGATATCATTAAAGTCAAGTAATAAGAGATTGAAAGGATATCTTGACACGTAATCGAAAGAAAATCCTTACTGTCGATCTTGCTCGAAAATTTAACTCAATGCATATTCACGATTCTAACCATCACCTCCTACACCAAGAAGCCTCCGCACGCTCTTTTATAAGTAGTCCGCACAGACTATTTAAAAAGTGAACCAGTTGCGCGCATGAACCCAAAACCTTTTATAAAAGTAATTGAGAGAAATTTATCTTATATATTTGAGAATTGAATCTGTAGTGGTTGACAAGTGAATAAGGCAAGCCAATAATACTTATAAATAAGACAAATTTTTAGTCATATATTTGCTACCACTTTCTTATTTTAACTAGATTTTGTATTAAGTGATTCGTTTGGAAAATGGATATACATCACAGTGGTCTGATCGGACTACCTATAAAAAACCGTGTGGAGGCGTTGGATCAGACCATTGTGATACCGAACGAGTCATTTAATACTGAACGTAGTTAAAGTAAGAAAGTGGTAGCAAATATATGACTAAAAATTAATTTTATTTATGAATATTGCTCCCGAGACCGACAGTGAAATAAAAAGAGAATATCCCGACAACACCTGCGGAGATAGAAACAACTGAACAGATGGAAACAGGAGCCACTGCTGAAGCCCCGGTTACAGTTGAGACACCTACTACAAATCCTGATCAGACAGAAATCCTGCGGCCCACCGGCAGGAAAATTAAAGTTCTCTTCCGGAGACTTGATACCGAGATTTCCAATCTCAAAAGAACTTTATACTATTGGATACTAGCCAAGAATAATTGAACAACTGAAGAAGAGGCGCGGCCTAGAGTATAAGCTCCTCCCCCTCTTCCTTAGCATCCTCCCAGATGATCCCTAGCATAGGGAAATCTTTCATACGGACAAACAGCTCGACACACCCGTGCGAGCTGAAAGATTTCGCGGCGGCCGTCGCGAGATTCAGTGCTTCAAGTGTCAAGGCTTCGGTCACAGAAAACTGCACCGGACAAGTTGCGTGCATGAAATGTGCAGGAGCATATTGGACATATCTTTGCAGTAAGCCAATCAACGAGCCTCCAACCTGCATCAACTGCCACGGCGATCACCCAGCCTGTTTTTCAGGCTGCGGTGCCAGAAAAAGGAGGAAAACACCACCAAAGAACAGGCAACACAGGAGTGCTGCCGACTCTGCCTCTAGATTTCTTCGAATCGTCATCAAGGAGTTACAAGAACTTTTGAAGGACTCTGAATTAGTCAACCTGATACAATCCCTTCTCCCATCAACCAAGGACTAGAGTGGAAACACTACATGGAGATAAACACAGATTTTTTCTGTGATACACCCCATATCTTCATCGTCACATAGTCATCGCCGCCTTAGGGCAAATTCTTATCCGACGAAGGAGTGAGATCCCCGCTTGCGCGGGCAGTTACTCCGCATCACCTCATATCAAGTCAAGTCAAAAGTGGATATCCTTCACAGTGGTCTGATCGGACTGATTAAGAAAAACCGTGTGGAGGCTTTTAGTTATAGGAGGCGTTGCATGTTCAAATCATTTACAATAAAATTTAACCTCTCTAGTATTTTAGCTAGTTTCAATTCCAATAGCTAAATTGAAATTGGTAGTAAATACGCTTCACCACTTGACTTTTTATTCAATTAATTAGTTTTACAAGGATTTTGACTATATAAGCGATTTATGTAAACAATTTAAGCAAATATCTCATGTATGTATATCATGTATGTATATATAT